TCAGGTGACATGCATTTACGGAGGTGTGGGTAAAGACGAACAGCGTCGGGCTCTTCAAAAGGCCGCCATTGTGGTTGCCACCCCTGGTCGTCTCAAGGATCTCCAGAATGATGGTTCGATTGATCTTGGAAAGGTCAATTACCTCGTTTTAGATGAGGCAGATCGCATGCTTGACAAAGGATTTGAGCAGGATATCAAGGATATCGTCAAGCCAATGCCTGTCTCTAGGAGACAGACTGTCATGTTTACGGCAACATGGCCCCGGTCAGTTCGAGATCTCGCAGCAACCTTTATGAAGACCCCGGTAACTGTTACCATTGGCGGAGACCCATCTGCAGACCCCCGAGCCAACTTAAGGATCAAGCAAGTTGTTGAGGTTGTTGACGGCCGAGACAAGGAGGGCCGACTCATACAGCTACTCACCAAATCCCAGCGTGGTCACCAGTCGCCTGAGAAAGTGCTGGTTTTCTGCCTTTACAAGAAGGAGGCTATGCGCGTTGAGAATCTTATCAGAAACAAGGGATTCTCAGTCGCCGGCATTCACGGTGATCTGAACCAATCAGACAGATTCCGAAATCTTGATGCTTTCAAGAAAGGCAATGCTACTGTTCTTGTTGCAACTGATGTAGCGGCTCGTGGCCTTGATATCCCGAACGTGAAACTGGTGATTAATGTCACTTTCCCTCTTACCGTTGAGGACTACGTGCACCGGATTGGAAGAACCGGGCGTGCGGGGGCTGATGGTCTTGCTATCACCATGTTCACTGAAACTGACAAAGGGCTGTCCGGCGGGTATGTTACTCATTTCTAATATCCTTGGACTCATCAGGGCAATGCTAATTGTGAATAGATTGATCAATGTTCTCAAGGCAGCCAAGCAAGATGTGCCAGAGGCACTGTTGAAGTTTGGCACAACAGTCAAGAAGAAGCAACACGATGTGTACGGTGCCTTTTACAAGGACGTTGATATGGACAAAACAGCGACAAAGATCACGTTTGACGATTAATTGGTTCATTCCGACTTGGTATATTTCCTGGAGGATCTAGAGGACAGCATGTGATGAAGCCTTGTCAATTGACCCATCAAATATTCCCTTTCTATGCAAATTCTGTTGTTTTTTATTGGTTAGGCGTTAAGAACAAATCAACATCATATCAGATTTCAGACCAGGTACTCACATCAGGAGAGCATAGCTGCCGCTCAAGGCGCATACTTTGATAATTCCCAGTTCCAGGCCAAACCCGCGGCTCAAGAAGAAGCTCGCCAGAGCACACAGAATGAAGCTAGCAGGTCGAATGGCTACTTCACTTGTGTACAGGCTACATCCATTTCGATGGAGGTATGATTTGATGAAACCATAACTCCAAAAGGTTCGAACTACCATGTTCACAATGTTGGCCAGGACCAATCCATACGCACCCAGGTTCCCTACTTCTAGGAACATATAGGCCGCTAAGGCATAGCAGGCAGAAAAGACGCCCATCCAAGCCGTTTGCTTCCGTATCTGCTGCGAATTTGCTGCAGATGACACGAACGCTTCGGTGATCCCATTGAATGCCAAAAATGGAATGTAGTAGCAATAGACGGAGAGCAAATACCCGATTTTGGGCGAAGACCATTGACGGCCTCCTAAGATATGTAGCAATTGAGGTACCATCATTGGGCCTAACGGAAATATCAGGACTGAGAGCAATTGGTACGCGCGTAGGATATCAATGAGGTGATCTCTGCTCGTGCGGATATGGGTCTTCTTCAGCTTCCCATCCTCATCGGGGCACAGTAGGGCCGAGAATAAGTTCCGGCTGCTCTCCTCCAGTGGCTGGAAAATGATCCGCGCGACGAGCCCGCCGTAGTTAGACGCAAGAGAGTATATCCCCTGATCTTCTAGTCCCGAAAGGGCTGCGAGCATCATAGTGTCGCCCTGCGTGAGCAAATGCTTCACCAGAGATTGGAAAAACACATTCGCAGCAAGTGACGTTAACTGGCACGAGAACCGTCCCAGAAAGTAGTTAGAGGGGTCCCTATAAATCGTTACCGTGTTGTTCTTTGTGGTATAGCTTGGGCAAGCCAAGGTCAGTCTTACCTGGATTGTATACGTGTCAATAGGAAAGAGAAGCGGGTTGTGTTGGTTTCCCCGAGTAGGGCCAAGGAGTAGCCGCAGATGAGGGCTAGGGAGTAACTGAGATGACCAAGAGCAAATGGTAGCACACCGAGGTCATATTTGACCTGAGAAGCATATATAAAGGCAGAGGAGGTCACTACACTTCTCAGAAATGCCGCTGGCATTTCAACAGCAGCGCGTTTCTCATAAAGCATATGTTGCTGTACTACCGAAAAAAAGGGCTCAGTGCTGAGTTCCATAAGAGACGCAGCCCCAATCAAGACCACACTGGGGTAGAAGAAGGCAATCTTTGATGCCTCCTCTGGGACAAAACGCTGATAAAGCATAGTGAACATAAGACTGGAGGGAATTCCAAGGACGAGGCTCAAGTAAGAGACATTCACCACTGCTTGAGATGACACAGAGTGTGAATCTGTCGTTGTAGCATCTGGTTGAACAGAAGACTTTTTGTCAGGCAAAGACGGAATAGGTTGCCTTTGGATAGCCATCCGAATACTTTCCCTTGAGAAATACAAGATCGAAACCTGGAAGAGCTCCAGCTGTGCTGCTATTCCCAGCACTGCTGGCGAGAGTGTGCGCAAAATCAATTGATTCGAGGTGAAGGTAAAGATCCTAGATGCTAATTGAATCAAGATCAAAAAGCTTGTGCCGATGGCCGACGACGCCAGGATCTTGCCCATACGGGCATCGTCCGGTTTAGTACCCATGATTGAGCCCAGCTATCACAGTCGAGTGCTAGTCTCAAATCAAGACAATAAGACCGGGGGAGTGTAAGGTTCAAGGGGTAAAGGAAAAGATGTGAAGAATCAGGTGGGGCCTCCAAGGACGTTTTTTGCCTTAGGCTTTTCGGGAAATGGTAGATATTGTACCAGATAAAATATTAATTGTCTTAAAAAGCCTATGAAATATATATATAAAAATATATCAACTTATATTTCCACTTGGTGCTCGGGGCCCTTGCTTACGTCTAGCCCGACCTTGTCTCTGAGCCCTACTTAGCTTCGATACCCATGTACTTCTCCCTAGAGGGCTAGGTATCACTACAGGCTAATTGTGAAATTTCCTCCAAAAGAACCTGTGATGTCTGATATGCGAAATTTTCATGGCATAGGGAAAGTGTTAAAATGGTCAAAATCCGCAAAGCACCGGTCCTTCAAGCCGTTTAAGCTCCTGATCCATATCAACTTATGTTGATTGTCATATACAAAAACCCCAGAGATCTCGCCACTAGAATGTTAATGATAGTTTGTAGATCAATATGTTTCCAGGTGTTGCCATTTTCGGACTGCTGATCATGTAGGCTCTTGGGCACTCTAGAACGGAGGTAGATAGAATGGATAGCCACCATTCTTTGTTTTGAAGACACTGAGAAGGAAGCTGTATGTTGCAAAAAGAACAGTTGCCCAGATTAGGACAGCCAGCTGTTGACCCTTGACATCTTCCATCCGGGGAACCTTCAGTGCGAGTGCGATTGTAGCAAAGGAAAGGACAGCGTCTGTGCAACCAAAATGTTAACCTAGGAACTCGACATGGAAGCCATACTCAGTATCAACGAGCCTCATGATTTTCACTTACAGATGGCAGCCACAATCTGAGTCTCCATCCCGAACTGATTCTGGAATCCACCAGCGAAATAGGTAATGCCACCTTGGCCATTGCCAGCAACATATGGAACCTTTCGGATGTGGTTGAACATTTGACCACTTGTGAACAGAAGAATAGCGATAAGGCTGATCGCAGCCCAAAGGTTTCGGTTCTGGACAATTGGTAGCAGATAGGGAGAAAGGACTGCAATCACAGTCACAACTGCCATTAGAATGGTGACTGCTGATACGACCCGCATGTAATTGATGGGTCGAACTAGTTGCGGTTTGGGGCCTTCGGGCAAATGACGTCCAATCCAAGAGTAGACCTGGTCGGCTGAGACCGGGCTGTGTGGGATTGACATGTTAGTGAGACAGGGGCCAGGCGCAGGGGCCATGGGGGAAAAAAGAAGAAAACTTACCCTGTGAAATCAAACCGGAGGGGATTCCCTTCAACCTTGGCAAAGGGGCCGATGGTGGGAGGGAAGACGAGGAGTACGGGTGCAGTTTGAAGCATGAGCTGCTTATGTTAGTCGCATGTTCTACAACCCAGTCTCGGGTAAAAATGCCATACCTTTTGGAAAACGGCCTTGCCATTGTCAAAGTCGAGTGTTCCAAAGACTACCTTGAGGTCATCAGGCTTGGTGCCCTTGGTCCAGCTTCGGGCGATCAGGTCCCATTCAGGTTCAAAGTCACGGCATAGGAGGCAGCCAAAGCGAGGATCCGTAGCAGTCAGAATAACCACAGCATAGTAATCTCGAGGTGCTGAGGTAAGATCTTCATATAATTCACTGTCAAGATCAACAGGGCCTGAACGAGACAGGGATTGATATCTTGCAAACTTGTCCGGTGTTGAGCTCGCAGACAAGACACTAGACACAATCGAGGAAATGAGAAAAAGGGCTGTCCAGAGCTTCATTTTGGCATGACAAGGAGCTGGACAGCTTTAAAGAGGTTAGTTATAAAGTGCAATTGATTGAAAAACTATCAATCGGTTGCAATTGAAGATGTTTGAACACGTTGAGTGATAAAGTCCAGGTGTCCACTATCAACGTAATCGTAATCGCCCGCATATCGGCTTACTTAATATATTGGCCCCGACGCCAAAACACCGCGTCTTCCTTCTGTGACGATTTATATCATACTTTGAATAAATTATTGGATATAACACCACATATCTTACCTAGATATTTCTATTGCTCTGCGCAGGCATCATTTAATTTATAGCCCCTTTTCCTTCTATTTTCTTATATCGAAGGGCTCCTGTCTTATTTTGGACACTGTCGGTATGGCAATGGCCGAAGAAGCATCCGCCTTGGATGTATGTGGCTTCCCTGGATTGATAGAAATATGCCCAAGATGCTAAATTGATTATTCTAGTTTGAAATGTCCATGAGGACCATGCGCCTGGAAAAGGACTATGAGAAGAGTCTTTCGGATTCCGTTCGTCTTCTGGATGGAGAGAGGGATCGCGTACGACGCATGGAGCTCTTGCTCTCGAAAATCGAGAATGAAGCTCTCCGATCGCAACTGGAGGAAGCAAATCGGCATCTTTTGGGATTCACGGGTGCTGATTCAGAAGCATGTGCTCAACTCCAGGAGGCTTGCCAGGAAATCGATCATTTGGAGCTTCAAGCGCAGGCATCCGCAAGTGAGATAGACCGACTCAAAGTAAGTTTCAACTCCGTGGAGGCTGAATGCATAATTGGTTATGTTAACAGCAATAGGAAGAGCTCTCAATCCAGAAAAATAGTTCGATCAGTTACAGTACTATCCTTGCAGAGAAACTCCATCTCTCTAAAGAACTCGCAGCACTACGATCGGAGCTTGAGCGGTTTAGAGCGCAAAACGCATCATATCAAGCCATCAACTCCGAGAAACATGAGATGGAACGGCAAATGAACTCTCTGGAGCTTCAACTTGACAATGAAAAACATTCCCATGAACGTACTCGGGCAAAGGGATCACAACAAATGGCAGAAATTGCCAAGCTCTCTACTCGAGTCGAAGAGTTGCGGAATGAGCTAGCAGGAGAATTGCGAGCCAAACAGCAACAGGAACGGGAGAACCACGATCAGAACTCGGCATGGGCCAATCAGCGGGCGACATTTGAAGGAGAGATTGATTCGCTCAAACAGCAGTTGCGGTCAAGCAAGGACAGGCTCCAGGAAGCCCATATTGAAATTCAGCAGCGACGCAGCCTCAAATCACACGCAGGTCATGACTCTGAATCTAGTTCTCGAACAGTCCCGCTTCAGCGCCCTGGCCCGAGTGGCCATGCCGGCGTGACGATTGCAACCCCTGGGGCTGTTCGTGTACAAGAGAAATTGAAGAGGGATTCGGCTGTGCCTGGTGATAAGTCGGCGTTTTCTATCACACCATTCTTAAACCGCACAGGCGCACCTTCGGATTCGCCGATAAGTTCAGTTGGAGACGAAGATGAGCTTGGAGATATCGACACTCCTCATGGATTACTTGGCAAGCAGAGCACTTCTCGCGAACCAAAACGCATCGGTTCTGCCCTTCGGCGCCAACTATCTCCAACAGAAGACCGTATTCCAACCACCAAATCCACCAAGCCAAGGGCACTTGAGGGTGCCATACCTGTCTCATCACTGAAAAATGAGGTCAAGAAAACAACCTATCGCCTAGATCGCAGTATGCCAACCACTGAGACCGATGAGTTATATGAGCAGAGTGAGCATGAACAGGCCAAGCCGAAAAAACGCAAACTTGGTGGTCAGCGGGATCGGAGTTTGTTCGAAGAGGATGAAGAAGAGTCTCACCCCAGGAAATTCGGACGAAAATTTGCAGTAGGAAATGGTCGGGCTTCAACGCTGAGTAAAACACAACCTACTAGTTTGCCACGGGCGCTTGGTCTTGGAACAGCACCTATGGGATTTTCTCCCTTGAAAAAAGACCGCAAACGATTTTAATATATATATATATATATATAGATATATAAGAAGGTCCATTAATTTTGAATTACCAGACTCTACCCAGGTGTATGTACAAATATCGATGTCACAGCTCAATGGCCGATAAGAGCTGACTTGAGGGCGGTTATGTTTTGCTGGCAGAAAATAAAAAGCTTCCTGCTCTCAGAATTATCTCCCCTGATATTATTCAATTCACATGATGTTTGCTTTACATTCAACTCGGTTTTGGCAGAATGTCTGTCGTAAACAGGCAATTGGTCAAGCAAGACATGCATCATCCAAACGGTGGCAAGCCCGCCAGCAAAAGGACCAATTCACCAGAGAGGCAGCTGTCCAAGGGCTGAAAAGCCGTGCTGCTTTCAAATTGCTGCAGGTAATTCAGCACCGATATTACTCTATTCTCCTGGATTTATCTGACACATTAGTACCCGTTAGATTGATGAGAAATATCGAATCTTCAAGGGTGGACAGACAGTTGTTGATTTGGTATGTTAGTCGTTCAACCTGGACTCTTAGATCATTGTTAATTCGTTGCATTTAGGGTTATGCTCCAGGGTCGTGGTCGCAGGTGTGTCGACCACTTCTGTTTCTTTTCTCCTTTTGACTTATACGCCCTTTCTTTGCCGTCAAATGGTCCGCAATTAACCCCCAGAGAAGGTTGCTGCAAGCCGTACTCAACCGCATGGCCGAGTCCTCGGTGTCGATATCATCCCAGCCCAACCACCGAAAGGAGTGTCTACAATCCAAGGCAATTTCCTTGCACCCGAAATCCAAACCTACATCCGAGACTTTCTCCGCAGCCCAGACAGAGGCAGGCCGCGCCAATCCAGCGCTCTAGACGATTCCAGCATCAGTCCATTAGAACCGAATTCAGATAGTGAACGCACGAACGAGGCCGAGAAGACGGAGATGAAGGGTGATAAAATACTTGAAAGAACGGTAGATGTGGTTCTTAGCGATATGTCTGCTCCCTGGTACCAGACCTCCGGTTTCTGGAAACGAAGTCTAAGTGCTCCTTATAATAGGATGATGAACACCAGCGGTGTCAGCTTCAGAGATCATGCTGGAAGTATGGTATGAATTCTTGTTACTCAATTCATAAGTGTGAAACGCTTCTGACTTACGCAGGATCTCTGCCACGCGGCTTTGCGCTTTAGTTCGGATGTTTTGAAGACAGGCGGTCATTTTGTCTGCAAATTCTACCAAGGTGCCGAAGACAAAGAACTAGAGCAGCAGCTGAAAGAATTATTCAAAAAGGTTCATCGCCTGAAACCTGAATCATCTCGCAGTGTATGATTTGCCTCGTCCAATTTACACCCATCCACCGACTAAAGCAATTGGCAGGAATCCAGGGAGGCCTTTTTCGTTGGCCTGGAGCGAAAATTATAAAACTCAAGCTATGTGGAACTTGCATGTCGGCAGATCACAGTGTGGTCGAAGAGCCGAACCATGCTTTCTGTCTAAAGGATCTCGATCTCCTCATTGTCAGACGCCTCGTCCCACTCAATATCGGCTAGTGCTGCTTCCGCCTTCTCGTGGACCTTCCTATGTGTCAGTCTGGGAGTGAGTTGGTTATAGACGCTGACTGACCTCTTTCAGCCCACTCAATTCTTCGACATATCCATGTTCATTCAGTGCTCTTCGCACGAAGCCCCAACCCTGCTCGCGGTATGCACTGACAACCTTATCCGAGCATGCACTGCAGCTTGGATAACTTTTGCCGGTGACAGACATGTTCTCGAAATTGGAGAGAAATCCTCGTATTTGATGGGGCACAATCCCCAAGGGGTGATCATCGCGCTCAGTATTGCGGGTCATGGGAGCTGGCGCGGCAGCACCTTTGGGGTGCTGAAGGAGTGACACAAAAAGCTCCACCAAAAGTGCAGAGGCTATAGGAGCCACTCCAGGGCGGGTCACTGTACACTGCTGGTCGAGAGTTTGATCTTTGATAGACTATCCTGCAGTCAGTTCTGTATAAAGTAGGTCCCTGGTTTGATAATCTTACATTAGCTGGTGCTACCACATCATTGCAGAAATAGCACCCAAGCTCGGCCGGCAAATCTTCATCCTCCGTGGTACCATGGCGCATCACCACAAAGGAATCAAACCCAAGGGCTGCATTCATCACAATTTTCCCTGCCGCCTTTCCCATCACTGTAGGCAGCCATCGTGATTCTCGGGTATCCATAAGGAGGAATATAGCATCATGCTCATTGATCAATGTTTTGAGACGATCAAAATCGGACCTTGTCACATCTTCGTCCACAATAGGATGGCCGGCCATGGGCACCGAGAGCGCATGACCTGTGGTCTCTACTCCCGGGTAAATTTGGGTAAGGGCTTTAGAAGCCCGATGTGCTTTTAGGACGCCCCCGTTCAAGCAGTCTTCAAAATTAAATAGTGGCTGCCGGACAGGATTAGAGAATGAGACGGTTCCGTTGTCAACGAATGTGATCTTCTTCACACCCCAGCCCTATATATAGTCGTTGATTAAAACAATAGTTTTCGGGCGCGGAGGTTGACGTCCACATACCAGCAGATTCCGGGAGACGTAGCTTCCTAATGTACCGGCTCCTAGCAAGAGACATTTGGTGTGCTTGATTTTCTCAAGGTCGAGCGTCGGGCTGATCCGCCATTTGATGAGTTTGAGGTTGAGATCGACCGACTGATCTGCTAATCTTTAGAAAAGTCAGCTTCCTTGATCAACTTTTCTGGCTGGATATCTCCAAATTAACACCATACCTCTTGGGATCCATGTACTCGGTGAGATTGACAATTCTTCCGGCCAATTTCCCAGTCGGGTTACGTTCCCAGCCGGTCACCTTTGGCAGCGGCAACGACACTTGACTCTGCAGTGATTCTGGGATCTGGGGCTCTTGCTTTGCACTTGACTTCAGCTGGATTATTGTACTGCGCCCCTGATCACGCTTCGCATGCACGTCGCGATAGCGTATCAATTGTACCTGTTCGAGGCCCCATCGCTGCTTGATCAGAACGAGCAGGTTTCTTAGCATCCATCCTGGTGCCTGTTCATAATTTGATGGGTCTGAGAAACAGAAATAGCGGTCTTCAGCAGCGACGTTCTTAAAAAACCCATTTTCGTATTCAGAAAGTGACGCTATCTGCCAGTTGCTATTCGATGTGTCTTGTTGTGCACTCTTTGTCTCGGAGTCGCCTGGAGATGCGTCATCGGAACACTGTCTGGTTTTTCGAGCCAAAAAGAATCCTCGTTGTCGATGATCCACAATATACGACCATGTTTGCACTGCTTCCACTAATGCAGTGCTCTCATGTGGAGATAAATGTGTTCCCTTCAAGTTGTCAATATCCTGGTCCTGGTATTGCTCGGATACTTGATTTGTTGGTTTCACAGGGACCCATTGGGGGTCTGAATGAATCGCCGGGAAAGCAAACCAGTAGTGGAACTTGTATTTTTTGAGGTCGGCAAAAGATACAATCACAAAACTGCAGAGTAACGAGGGGCATGAAAGTATTGTCCCGTCGTGGATGGCGTCCCATATCTTAGAGCTCTCATTAGTATATTAGTATATAACTCTCCTTTCGGAGCACTAGTTATGATTATTCCTACCATTTGTCCAGCTTGATGGAGTAGTTTGGATCTGTCCATGTTTCGATATTCTTCAATGGTATTGACATTCTTGATCATTCCATCTGCTCTGTAATAGCCAGCTGGTGCCCTGGGTTGCTGTTAGAGGGGTTCTTATGAACATTCCATTTTATCTTACTCGCTGCCAGTGAGTGCGTTCCCATGAATTTGTATTCGGCATGACGCAGCCTCAGGATCAGAAGGACGAATCTCGTATAATCCCCGAACGGGCCGGGCGGAGTCATCTAGTTTGTCATGATTGATCTTATGGGAAGCCAGTGAAGTATAGAAAGGTAACTCGATGTCGGAAGCAAACGGTGTGTACTGCATTTCGGAGGAACAGAGAGAAAAGAAAAGATTATCAAGTCACTCCGAATGATACAGTCTTAGGTTGTAATAGTTAAGGAGGGAAGAGGGCGTAAAGGGCGTAAAGGAGGTGAAAGGGTCTGATGTCACGAGAGAAGAGGGGCTTATCTATCTTCACGTACCTGAGGTTCTACTTTCTTCCAGCCTTTTAATATATGAAATCTCTGATATACACACACATTTTTATATATACATATCAATGATGTATATATATAATATTATATGTGTACTGTAAAGAGTACCTTTGCAGATATTGAATCATCGGGCTATAATCGTCTCGTGAGCTTAACAGCTGACTTCTGCTGAACACGCGATCCCCTGAAATATGTAAGATTTTAGGGTTATATTGTAAATCAAGGATACCTATACTCCTATAGTTATGTAGCTTATACCTCCAGTCCTCATAGGGCTGCCCAACCTTGGAATACCTATTCCCAATCCTATTAGCCCGATAAGATTAGACCGATAAGAATCGCGTCGCCCGTTTACTATGCCCCGCTGCTTGTTCCTCTTCTTTTCTTCTTTCCACTTTTCAACTCTACAAATTAGTAGAACGCCAGAACATGCTCATCGGCTTATGTGGAGGTCAGCAGATCGTGGCAAATTAATCCTTCACACCACATGAACTAACGAGGATATACGTCAAAAGGTATTTGCGCTGGCAAACATGCGATTGCTGAGTACCTAATCCAGCAAGGGTTTCAGCTTCTTGAACTAGCCAGCAAACCTCAATCTGACATCATCGAGTCAGAGTATGACCTGCGACTGCAAGCGTCGGAGGTCAGAAAGAAAGAGGACCCAAAGTCGCCAGTTCTCACATTCCAAGATGCCGACTCTCTACTTGACTTTGCAACGAAAAGATGGCAAGAACGTTGGGTTACCACAGACATTGCAGATGCCACTACACTAGATCGATTCCTCCTGCGTCCCTTTTTCCTCCTCGTGAGCGTTGATGCACCAGTGAGCCTCCGATGGAAACGATTTGCCGACAGGTTCGTGATGATACGTGTGACTGAAGCCCCCGACCTAACCTTTCTTTCTTCCTAAAAAAGATGTTGGAGAAGACAACTGGACCCGCCTGAACTTGAAAAGTTCGTAATGTGGAATGACCATAATCTTTACGACAAGGAGATTGGACGCGTATACTTGACTGACAAAGCCCAAGTGCGCCTATTCAACTCCTCCTCCTCCCTTGAAGAGCTACACTCCGCTTTGCAGACCCTCGACCTGGCAGACGAACAGCGGTTGAGGCCGAATTGGGACCAGTATTTTATGCAGCTGGCCTCTCTTGCTGCCCAAAGAAGCAATTGCATGAAACGAAGAGTGGGATGTGTGCTCGTTCGAGAGAGTCGTGTCATTAGCACAGGATATAATGGGACACCGCGGCATCTCCAGAACTGCAACCAAGGTGGATGTACGACACAGGCCAGAACCGAATAAGGTTCAATGATCCTATTGTTCATTTGGCTTACTAGAAATCATTATAGGTCCACGGTGCAATCGCGGGGATGGCGGAGGAGTCGGTCTTTCAACCTGTCTTTGCCTCCACGCCGAAGAAAACGCATTGTTGGAAGCAGGCCGAGATCGGATTCGAGAGGGGGCTATCCTATATTGCGATACGTGAGTGCACTTCATCCTTAAATGAACATTGCCAAAGACAAACCCTTACTGTAGATCGCAGATGCCCTTGCTTGACGTGCACGGTCAAGATAGCTCAAGTTGGAATTTCGGAGGTCGTTTACTCCCAAGGATACAACATGGATAACGACGTAAGCCAATGCTTGTCCGCTTCGGGTTTACTTATCTAATTTGGACACACAGAGTGCGGCTATATTGCAAGCAGCAGGCGTACGCCTACGGCAATTCCACCCGGTAGTCAATCTTCCTTCAAGAACCTTACCTCTTTTATATACATAACTAACCGTAAGCCTACAGCCCTCGAACGGACTCATCTATCTTCAGGGACCTGAGCGACCAGCCACAACCGGAAACCAATAACATACAATACGACAATGGAGGCACGGGGAAATCCAACCCAGTGAAGAGAAATATACTTCTGCATCAGTACATATTTGCACCACCCCAGGACTACATCAAACTTAGTTTTTCAAACTAACTTGTCTAGATAGAATTGCAATTGAATGGGGTTCTTGGTGGAAACTATATCTTCTAGGGCTATTACATATTGTCTAAAGAAAACAGCCCTGGAGGGCTATGTAGTATGCGTATTCTACATGTGACTCACAGATATTATAAAGCACAAAAAGGAACTTGGAATGCATAGTAATTAGCCGCTATGAGTAAGTACTCTGTTGTACCTCCTTCTCCGCATTTTATCTGGCAGAAAAAAAAAGAGGTATGACTCAGCGTACGAATTTTGGCGGGGCCCTTAGGAACCCCTCGATGGTCTTCACAGTCGGATTCCTTACCATGTCGGGAGCCTAAACTCGATAATCCACTACATTGCGGGCTATCAGCTGAGATTGCTATTGGGATTTGTTTGGCCTAAGCCCATATAACCATGCCTACCGTCCACTTGCTGGACTACGTTGCGGGAAACATCCGTTCCCTGGTCAATGCGATCAACCAAGTCGGATACGATGTCGAATGGGTTAAATCTCCCGAAGATGTGAAAAATGCTGACGTTAGTCAAATACCCAGGACCAATTCCACTATGGCTAGCTCACAATCATGCCATTGCTAACAACAACACCCTAGAAACTGATACTCCCCGGTGTTGGCCATTTTGGCCATTGTCTCTCCCAACTGGACAAAGGAGGGTTCTTGGGGCCCGTCAGACAGCATATCGAAGCTGGGAAGCCTTTTATGGGTATCTGTGTTGGTCTGCAAGCCCTCTTTCAGGGCTCAGAGGAAGATAACAACGTCCCAGGGCTTGGCTTGATTCCTACGCGCATTCAAAAATTCAATGACACCTCGAAGAGTGTACCGCACATTGGGTGGAATTCTGCAATCAACACTGGATCTGATGACACGAAGAATCAAAGTTTCTATGGTCTGAGGCCGACCAGCAAGTATTATTACGTCCACTCCTATGCGGCCCCCTACAACCCGGGTGTATTGGAGAGTGACGGCTGGTCTGTAGCTACAGCCACATATGGCGAGGAAGAATTCATCGGTGCTATCAGTCGGGGCAACATCTTTGGCACCCAATTCCACCCGGAGAAGAGTGGCGTGGCTGGGCTGCGAGCCATACGCGCATTTTTGAACGGTGATCAGTTCCAGTCGCTCTCACAGGACCTAGTCACTGGCAATGAAAATGGGCTCACTCGTCGCGTTATTGCCTGCCTTGATGTTCGGACAAACGACTCTGGTGACTTAGTTGTCACCAAGGGTGACCAATATGACGTCCGAGAGAAGAGCGGGGCAGACGCCAGCGGCAGCGTTCGCAACCTCGGTAAGCCTGTCGACATGGCTAAGAAATATTACGAGCAAGGAGCAGATGAAGTGACCTTTTTGAATATCACCTCTTTCCGAAACTGCCCAATTGCTGATACGCCCATGCTTGAAATTCTGCGACGAACATCAGAGACGGTATTTGTGCCTTTGACCATTGGCGGAGGAATCAAAGACGCCGTTGACACTGATGGAACCCGGGTACCTGCCCTGGATGTGGCAACGATGTATTTCAAGTCTGGAGCTGATAAAGTCAGCGTTGGCTCCGATTCTGTCTTCGCCGCTGAGGACTATTACCGCGCTGGTGAGAAGTTGAGTGGCCAAACCGCAATCGAGACGATATCACAAGCCTATGGAAAGCAGGCTGTTGTGGTGAGCGTCGACCCCAAGCGGGTATATGTGGATAAGCCAGAAGACACCCACCACCATACAATTAAGACACAGTTCCCCAACTCGAAGGGGCAAAGCTTCTGCTGGTACCAATGCACTGTCAAAGGTGGCAGAGAAACTCGCGATATCGACGTGCGGCAACTTGTGCGGGCTGTTGAGGCCATGGGAGCTGGTGAAATTCTTCTGAATTGCATTGATAAAGATGGAAGCAACAGTGGGTTTGATCTGGAATTGATCAGAGATGTTAAAGCTTCGATCAAAATTCCAGTCATTGCTTCAAGTGGGGCTGGCATACCTGCGCACTTTGCGGAGGTTTTCAACCAAACAACCACTGATGCAGCATTGGGGGCAGGAATGGTAAGCTTGTGTTCTTCCAAATATTTTCCCTACAACAGAGTTTCTGACCATGCCCTAGTTCCACCGCGGTGAATATACCGTGACTCAAGTAAAAGATCACCTTCAAACCGAGGGATTCCTGGTCCGCCAATTTGAGGCTGCAATCTAAAGACTCAGCTGTGTCAAAAGGTGTAATATTTCTCATGGGGATATTTTGCAAGTTTGATGTTTTTATTAGAGAATAGAGAGATCGTACGGGGGCCGATCCCACCAACCAATATATACAGTACAAACCCCCCAAAAACAAAAATAAAACTAATATACAAGATGTTCGAGATGGTAATAAATGCATTCCGAACAGTTGAAGGGGTCACGTGAACCGTTATCTTTACTCATCAAAAGCGGTCTAAGAAGCGGTAGAAACAAACGTAAATCATCTGACTTTTCCGTACTTGCCACTTCACCTTCTCCTCCCCCGAGACAACTGACTGCGGCGAAAGTTCTATCCTCACCATTCTCACTACACCGATTATCACTCCTACTTCTTTCTTTCTAGTTTTCAGTCTTTGGCTTTACCCTTTGTTGATCTCGCCGTGACCATCAAATCTCGTTACCTAACAACTACGACACTTCGACATTCGTCGTTTGATAGTGAATTTGCTCATACCTAACAGTTCCCTTTATAACAGGATTTGGTGCCTACAAGGATCTCCAGACAGGTTCGATCCCAGGGCAGGGTGCTGGGGTGGCTCTGCGAATCACTTGAAGGACGGGGCAGTCCATCAAATCTCTCTTGAATACACCTTTTTTATTATTCAGCACCAGTGTTCTTTCGATCATCGTATTCATCAATTCTTTGATCTCCATTTGTATGCAGTGATCTGAACACTCACCATTCAGCATTCAAAAAGATTCATTCACATATTCCATTGTCTCAGTGGTCTATTGATCCCTGCTTTCTTTCTAAAATATCTCGTGCTTTCTCTGTGATCTGAACAGATAATATCTGTTGCCAGACCTTTGTTGTGGTGACTGGTGATACACCAGTTCCGCTTCATTCCACGAGTTTTTTTTTTTTTTCTTTCCTCTCTATTATCCCTATTGCTCACTGTACACGGCGGCGGTGCCCCTAAATCTGTACACAGCCATCTTTGTTGCATCATCCCCCTCCAAAATTGAATACAATGTCATCGTCCGTTCATTTCAAATTCAAGTCCCAGAAAGAACCCTCAAGGGTCACCTTCGATGGCACTGGTATTTCGGTCTTTGAGCTCAAAAGAGAGATTATCAGCCAAAGTAGATTGGGCGATGGGAGTGACTTTGAGCTGTCGATCTACAATGAGGACACCAGGGAGGGTATGTTACTCTATTCCAATATAGTCATTTCCCTCTGATTAACACGACTTCTAACATCCGACAGAATACGATGATGACACCACCATAATCCCTCGATCGACTTCCGTGATCGCCCGCCGCTTGCCCGCAGCGCGCCCTGGTAAGGGCGGTGCCGCTCGTTATGTTTCGGGCAAAATGCCGGTCAACGCTCGCATTGCCCCTCGCAATGAACCCTCGATGAACCGAGTAGCACCCGGAACGGGACAATCCGTGAACAACAACGTCCTCGAACTCAATAATGCCCAGACAGAAGAAGAGAAGATCAATGCCCTGTTCAACCTGCAGGCTAGTCAATGGCAGGAGCAACAACAAGAAATGGCAAAGTAAGAGCATTCTCTCTTGACCCTTAATTATGTTAGAGATATTGATTTATTTTAGCGCAACACCCGTACCGTTTGGTCGTGGCAGAGGGAAACCCGTCAATGTACCCGACCACCCTCCACCTCCGGGGTATCTTTGCTATCGTTGCCGAGAAAAAGGTATGCACCTCTAGCTAAATTGCTCCACCACAGACCGTTAACCTTTGTACGCAGGTCACTGGATCCAAGCATGCCCTACCAATAACGACCCCAAGTTCGATGGCAAATATAGAGTCAAACGATCAACTGGCATACCACGTTCACTTCAAACCAAAGTTGACAAACCAGAATCCCTGGCCCCAGATGGCTCCACTGAAGATTCGAGGAATACAGGCGTCATGGTGAATGCCGACGGCGATTTTGTCATTGCAAAGCCAGACAAGGCAGCCTGGGAATTGTACCAAGAAAAGGCAAAGGCATCGGCGGCAGCTGCAGCTGAAGCAGCAGCTGCCGAGGAGAGTAAAGCATTGCAAGCTCGAGGTCTGGAGTGTCCAATTGACAAGAGGATGTTTTTAGAGCCAACAAAGACACCGTGTTGTCAGAGGACATATTGCAATGATTGTATTTCAAATGCTTTGATTGAAAGTGACTTTGTTTGCCCGGGATGTGCTACCGAGGGCGTCTTACTTGATAACCTCACTCCTGATGATGAATCTGCATCAAAAATTAAGGTATACGAAGCCGAAAAGGCAGAAGCCAAGAAGGAGAAGGAAAAACTTCCCGTGGGTCCGGATGGTACTCCTGTCCCTGAAGTTTCCGAAACCGAATCCAAGGAATCTTCCTCCAACAAAGAGCAGAGTCCGCTCAATCAAGTCCAAGAGACTGCGCCCACACAATCCAAGAAGAGATCTGCCGAGGACGAGCCTACCGGCCGGAATGGGACTGCAACCTCCGAACCGGGTACCGTGTCAAAGAAACAGAAGGCAGATGATGGTCATACCGACATACCAGCTCACGCTAATAACGTCCAAGACGGCACACCTGGTGTTACTCCAGCAAATTTTAATAATCAGGATATGCCATTTAACGCCTTTGGACCAATGCAAGGCATGCCTATGATGCCTTTCTCGGCTCCTGGATTCGGCAATGAAGCTATGGGCTTTATGAATCCCATGGCGATGGCATCTACCAATGGATTTCCTGGTGGCATGGGCCCAGGGTGGAATCCCATGAACATGCCTTTCAATCCCCTCCAAGCTGGAATGTTTGATCAGAGCAATGGCGGCATGCCCAACGGATTTCCTAATATGTTCAATGGAGATCCTTCGATGATGTTCCCCATGCCGCAGAATGGGTTTCAAGGCCCAAGCTCTGGAATGAACAATTTCTCAAATCAGCAGCGGACAGCTTTCAGCACACCATATTCCCGGGAAGAAGATTCACCATATTTCCGCCAGCCTGTGAATCCGCAACGTCATCAAGCTAGAAACCGACGAGTTCGGCCTAGCGATTACAGGGAACTTTGAATAGATAAGTACTCAGGTGCCGGCTATGGGTTTACGGATTTGCATTATGGTTTTCCCAGTACACTGTGTATATGCATATTATTTAGAGCGGGGGGTTTTCTTTCTTTCCTACATATCCTTTTTTTTGTGTCCTCTTGCTCATTCTCTTGTATCATCCTGAGAGGTTTCTTTTTTGCCTCCAGAATGTGTACTACTACGATAGCCACAATAAGAATAATTTAACCCTTATTTCCTACATCTGTAAACACAATTTGGGCAGGGCTTAGGCATTTAGGCATTACTACCAAGTACTCAGATTGGCTATAATGCACCCTTCAATGTTCAATTGATATAAATCTTACCGTTAGGCATTGATACATCCCTTTTAACATGACTTTGATGGCCTTTCTAGATTTGAATAAATAAAAATCATGTATAAGATATGAAAGCAAATTCATGACCATATAATACTAATAATTGAAGAGAAGGTGAAAAAAATATTAAATTCCAAGTCGTAAAGAGTCAGGTGACTTTGGGGAAAAACACCCCCATTCACACCGTCTTTGTTTCCACAACGTCCCCATCCACTACTTCCTGTTCAACATCAGACTGGATTTCTTCTCAAAACGACAAACATCTTCATCGTGTCTTCTCTACTCCCTTCGAATTTCAAATTTCGACCTAGTTCGATATCTTGACCCACACCGTTCATCAAATCCATCCCAGAACAATTATCTGAAAGATCGACTATCATGGCGAAATATATGAATAACCACAGTAGTAATTTCAAACAAATGCAGCATTTCCTCGACCAAGAATCTCAGAGCACCGTTCTCGCTACCTGCTACAGTGTTGAGCCGTCGACCTCCAAGGTCCACGGCTTCCACTACTGCACTACCCTGGGCGCCGGTAAGTATCTAGTAACTCAAACTCGTATGTTGCTCGAGATCTAATCTTTTAAATTTAGGGGTACAGTGGTATCCCTGAGGTCCCTTCGGGGACTAAATCGTCTCTCTTAAGTCCTCCCCACGACATACTCGATTCCCGCGCGGAACGAACCTGGCCAGGAAACAACTGGCCAGAGTACAAGGGGGAGGCAACGCATAACATCCCGGAAGAGTGTGAGAGCCTCTTCTGTGACAGACTGTCTGCGATATTCCTGGGTGAGAGGGGTTTCGTGGAACAGGAGTCGCTGGGGATGGATGCGTTCCAAAATATCCAGCCAAATCAAATCGGGCAGCATGATCGAATCCAGCGATGGATAGAAGTGTGGGATTACTCCGGCGATGCTATCTACCGCGGATTTGTAGCTGAACACAATAAGGAGCGGACCTTGTTCGTCTTCTTTGAGGACCGTGCACTTGAACACGGCCTCAAGTCAGGGTATGTACACCCTTCCCCTATGTTTCCTTGAACAAGTCAAGGCTTTCCCCTTTCGCTTAATGACAGCCCTCCATACGTGTTTGATTTATCCACTGACCTTCGTCTTACTTTCAGCTTGATCGCTCTATTTGAACTTGCCGACATTGCTACATTTGGGTGCTCGCAAATAGTCGCCTGTGTCAGTCGCTCCCAGCGCACAGATGAAATGGAGCTTGTTCGAAGCCTAGGATGGTGTGGATTCAGCCTCACCACCTTGGCACCCTGGGTTTCATGTAGCGACCAAGGACCCTGCCTTAGTAATAGATGGCTTTTCTTGGTTGCTGAAATCTAGTGATAACACCATCGCATGATTTTGATTTATTTTTGGATTGAAGTTATGAATCTTGTTTATGCTTTTGATGCTTGATATATTGCGCAATGTTTTCGAGTATTGAGTACTTATAATCTATTTTTCATGCGTGTTATGCTCTAATGAAAATGTCAATTTCCCCCGGCTTCGGAAAAAAAAAAGCCGTGGATAAGATAAGAGATAAGAGGTGTATAGCACATGTATGACCTCACCTTTACCTTCACCTATATATCCTTTCTAACCTTCAAGGTCCTTTCAAGGTCCTTTCAGAGCCTTTTTTTTATTATAAATATATCTCAGAATGTCCAAGGAGCGCGTAAGATCTCTCCAGGTCCCTAAATTCCTCCTCCCCTCCGTGTTTCCTAAACACAGTGCGGGGCTTTCTCCAACGGACCGCAGACCCCAAAACACGACTGAGAAGTATCTTGACGGCCATGTCTCCTATCTGCGCTGTGCAGGCTGTGCCTCACATCTTTGCTGGACTTCCCAAATTATCAGCAAAGGGTTTACAGGTCGCCATGGACGTGCCTATCTTGTGTCGGCAGAGCCGGTAGCCACTGCCGTGTCGGTCAGCGCGTCGTCTTCGCCTACAGCGTCCCTGCCCAATACGGTATTGCAGCGTCCAGTTCCTCGCCAACTTGTTACAGGGGCACACACAGTCAGCGATGTTAGCTGCAAATTCTGCGACAGTGTCCTGGGCTGGAAGTATGTTGCAGCCGAAGAAGAATCACAACGGTACAAGGTTGGCAAGTTCATTCTGGAAACGAAGAAAATCGCTACCTCTTCGTGCTGGGAATCTCCACCTGGCGTGGAACAGACTATGCAAGCCGGTCACCAATATGCAATTGGGTCTGGCCCAGCAGATACAGAGTTTGACAGCCAGGATGAAGATGAGTGTGAGGACCTTTTCGCCGGAATCTGGAGCCCTGGACTTGCTGCGCGTCGAAGAAACCGTGAGATTAAACGTCGACCCGCGATGTGGGGAATCTCATAACCTTTAGGAAATCCTGGGGATGGACCTTGTGGGATGAGGTCAATGCATAATGTGACATGATACCCTTTTTAACGAGCTCGTTGTCTTGCCCTTCCCCCCCTTTTCTATTGCATACGAATCTAGTATAATACCAGTCAACAAGGTTACGAGATTTATGAATTTCTTTTTGGGAAAGTCCGTCATTTCGCACGGGATCCGATTCATTGAATTCATTAACACCCTGGTAATTTAGATGGGTTCTAGGGGAAAAGAGAAAATTCCGATTCTTTCGGACACAAGACCACTTCACGAGGAAGTATCGTCAACACGAGACCGCTTGGAGCCATTCTCTGCGGGTTCTTCGGCTGGTCTTTTCGAGGCAGTTTCGGCTTGCTGAGTTGGCTGCTTCGCAGGCTTACGCTTGACAAAGGCAGATAGATCAGTTGCTCCCTTGCTAGCTGCTTCAAGCTGAGCTTTTTGGTCTGTCGCGGACTGACCAATAATCTGACCCAGAACTCCCTTTAACATAGCTTCGTCGGATTGGTCGTTTTGCTCTATCGAGACAGGTGGTCGGCGCAGATCAACAAGCTGATTTAGTTTATTATTAACCAATTCAAGTAATAGATATAAAGAAAAGACAAGAGAGAAATACTTACTCTTTGCTCCATCTCGGTGATGATCTCCTTGACATTGGCGATCTTGCGCTTTGCCGCAGTTGCCTTGTCTTCATTTTCATCTTGTTCGGCCTCGAGTCTTTTTTGCTCTTGAGCCATTCGCACCTTGCAGCTCGCGATGGCATGTTCCATTTGGGTAGCGGCTTCTTTCCTCATCTCTTCATCAACCTTGGGTTTTTCGCCATTCTCCTCATCGCCTTGTTGGACTGATGCAAATTCTAGGGCGAGGGAGAGCTTGTAATGGCATTCAGCGACAGAGGGATCTTCTAGAGGATATAGCAAGTTTCTCAATTCAAGAACAGTCCTCAAGTCAGTAACTGCTTCACTGAATCTCTCTGCTTCCAGCGAGATTTCAGCTTGAAGATCGTGTGTGTCTGCGATTCTTTCCCTGATGTGCTTTATGTCCGAGGATACCACAGTCGATTTTCCTTTGCCCCCGTCGTTTTCCTCTACAGCACTCAGCTTCTTGAGGTACAGAACACGGGCAAGATCAAGGACCTCAAAGGCATTGGCAAAATCGTCGTCTTCTTCATCGTCCTCGGCTTGCTCGGCAGTTTCATCATCTTCATCCTCGGAGTCGACAAAGTTCTCGTCTCCCGTAAACTGGAAGAATGGCTTGGATTCTGTGAGCTCTAGCTTTTTGTCTGCGCGCTTGGTGGAGGACGACTTTTCCATCGAATTGGCGATTGTGTCTTGAACAACTGATTCACTGGTGAATTTCGACTCAGCGGAAGATGTATTTGTTGAAGATGCAGTTCCAGATTGCGGCTGCTCGCCGGCTACCTTGGAGCCAAGGACATCACTTTTACTCACAGCCACGTTGTACAATGACTTTCCGTAGGCATAGAGTAAATCCGCATTCTCGGGGGACAATTCGCCGTTGAGTTCAGCCTGAAGCTCGGTAGCTTGGGAGTATAGCTCGGAGGCAGAGTCGTGATCTTTGGTCGCATCTTTTGCAGCAGCACGTGCGATCAAATCATCGAGTTTGGTTCGTTTCTCTTGCTCCGAAATGGGAGATTGAACGTCTTGTGTATCAGCCATGAATGCGATTTACTAAAGAGTAGTGAAAGAAGAAACAAAAGAATTTAATAGCCTTAAGAATAGGACTAAAGCAAGAGAGTCGAGTGAAGTGGGAAAAAGAAAAGAGAGAGGAAGAGATTGGAAGAAGCTTTAGCTCCGGCGCGCGTGTCACGCGTCGGTTTAATTGAATTCTCTCTCTTCCTCTCCTCTCTTCTCTACCTATTCACTTGGACCTTTTACTAGAGCCTTTTCTATTCCGAACTGATTTTTGTTTGAGATTCTGAACCGATACCTACTTTATAGGACCTTGTCACGGTTTTTAAAGTCTGGAAACCTCGAGATGGACGCCTCAACACCGCGACATTCTGATCGCTTCAGAACGGCGACTGAGGATCCTATTCCTTCATCCTCACCTGCATTTGGGACACCAGCGCGCCCATTTCGAATACCCAAGGGAAATGCGCCTCCCCCCAAAACTTCAATTTTACCAATCTTACTCCCTCCATCAACCCTACGCCCAGTTGCCTTTCGAACATTCACCCGCAAACATAATCTCACAATCTCATCATCCGCGCTTCAAATACTAGCAGTGTTTGTGGGCAAGAATTGTGGTTCAGGATGGCGCGAGGAAGGCCTAGCAGAGCGAGTCCTGGACGAGGTTGCCAAGATATGGAAAAGAGCCGGCGGAGGAGTGATTGTCGAGGAAGGGAAAGGAGCATCCCTAAAGACAATACTGCAGACTCTAGAAGGCAGTATGAGTGGTGGAAGGGTGGTTGTTGGGAAAATGACTACCAAAGATGGCTCCTTCAAGGCATCCACACTGGGTGTAGATGATGGGCGGGTTGAAACAGCTAGTGATACCTCAAAACAAGGGGCCGCTGAGGAAGACGATACCCAGTTATCATTTCATCCAAGACATTGGCTCAAAGTGGTCGACGCCTTTGATCTTCCGCGCTTGACGTATAACGTCGACAAGAAATACTTCGAAGCCATGAAGCCAAAGCCATCCTTGTTTCCATCACCGTCTCACAAAACTGCACTATTCCGAGATCGATACAATCTTGTGTATCAGCGATTGCTCCGCAATGAATCTTTTCAGAGCTCATTGGGCGTTGCTAGTATTCCTTCATTGCAACGTTCATCGTCCAATCTTGCCCACCGACAATCCTATAAACTGACGCCAATCGCAAATTTGCTGGGTAGAAGTGGAACCTCACATCTACTACTGGGGTTGCTTGCAATCTCTCCTACTGGAGATTTGTCACTGGTGGACTTGACTGGAAGTGTAGCATTGGACTTGAGCCATGCCCGAATGATACCCGAAGACAGCGCGTGGTTTGCGCCAGGAATGATTGTGCTTGTTGATGGTGTCTACGAAGAGGAAGAGATGGTAAAAGGTGCTACGTTGGGAGGGAACACAGGAGTTGGGGGGGCAATCGGAGGTCAATTTGTCGGCATATCAGTCTGCGGACCTCCCTGTGAGCGGCGTGATATCTCGCTAGGAACAGGCAGTCGCCACGGCAGCGGACAACTGAGTTCTAGTGGTGGATTTGGGTGGGTTGATTTCCTCGGATTGGGAAGTGAACGTGCCCAGGGCGCACGGATGAGAAAAATCCAGGAAAAATGCCTACGAGGAGACCAGGAAGTACCAGAAAAGGCCAGGCTCAAAGTCGCTATCATGAGTGAAGTCAATCTAGACAACATGAAGACACTGGACGCTTTGAAGAAGGTATTCAGTACCTACAATGATCTGTCTCTTCCTGAACGCCCACAGGCCTTTATCCTGATCGGCAATTTTGCGCAGAAAGCTATCATCAGTGGAGGTGGCCGAGCTGGGTGTATCGAATACAAGGAATACATCGACTCATTGGCGCTAGTTTTATCCGATTTCCCAGCGTTACTACAACACTCGACCTTCGTCTTTGTGCCAGGTGATAATGACCCCTGGGCATCAGCATTCTCTGCTGGTGCAGCCTCAATAATACCACGACAACCCGTTCCAGAATTGTTCACCTCCCGAGTCAAACGTGCATTTGCAACAGCAAACTCGGAGTTGAATCGGTCACAAAACCCCGAACCCGCGGGTGATGCAATCTGGACCTCAAATCCGGCACGTCTTTCATGGTTCGGGCCAGTGCATGACATCGCCATATTCCGAGATGATATGTCGGGAAGACTGAGACGGAGCGCTGTCAACACCACCCTCGACAACGAATCAGATGTTCCAATGCATGAAACTTCGAGCAGTGCTGATGGTGATGCGGTCTTTGCTATGGGTGAAAGCCAGATCGAAGACATGGGCCAGCAACAGGGCACCAAGGCTGCAACCGCCTCGTCTGGGGCGTCAATGGCCCGTAGACTTGTTAAGACCATTTTGGACCAAGGAACACTCTCCCCATTTCCGTTACCATTGCGGCCCGTCTTGTGGGACCATGCCTCGGCCATACAGTTGTACCCGCTACCCACCGCATTGGTACTTGCAGACCCCGAGGTTGCACCGTTTTGCATGACTTATGAGGGCTGTCATGTCATGAACCCTGGGCGCTTGCTACCGGAAGGTGGTACTCCCATGGCCAGATGGGTCGAGTATGATGTGTTACGCAACCGGGGGAAGATCAGGGAAGAGCGTTGTTAACCTTCTAGGAATGATTTAATTAAATTTCACGCATCATGAACAGAAATACATTTAGATGCTATGTCATATTCGGGAGTTTGAGACCTAGGAATACAGCGTGAAGAGAACATTGTAGTTGCTCTTGCATTAAAACGGAAAAGGCTCAAAAAAAGGTGGTGAACTACATGGAAGCCCTGGATGGGGATTACCACGATGCTTAGTCAATGGTGATGACATCGGTATTTCCCCTAACTTGTGGAGCGGTAGATGTCGAGCCTTGAATGTGCAGTTGTTTCGGGATTAGCTCGGGTTTGGCTTCCACTTCTCTGTCAAGTTGAAGATGGGGAGCATTAAGGCACTCGTGCAGCTGGAGTATGAGGTTTCCAACCTTGTTGATACTCGCTACCGCTCCGTCCCCAAGACCATTCCAACCATCGCCTTTCGACTGGTAAATTTTCTCTTGTATAAAAGCTGCGATCTGGCCACGACCAGACTGATCCATTCCGTTGGCGTCCCTTAACATCCAGACCAAGTGGTCCTGGTGCATCACAGCACTCAAGTGGAAACGAGACCTCAGTCGAGGATAGTGAATCATGTATACAGTCGGTTTGCGCGCGATGATTTGCACAATTGACAGATCTGTCTGATTCGACTGAGGAGTGATCTGATCTAATGACCGCAGCAGAGGAAGCGTGGTAGCCAAGAGTTGTAGGGTTGATTCAACACCGGCGTCAGCGAACCGCTGGTTCAAAGCCACACTGAGTGGCTCTTGAATCCGGCGATGAGGGCTGGAGCTTTCGAATTTGATGCCCAGTTTCAGTTGGAAAAGAGGCTTAGTCTTCGAAATAGCATCTGCAACGTCCACGTAGTCAGACAGAGAAGGCCCTTCGGCGCTGATGTCAAAGAAAGCAGAAAATTTGTTTTCGGGCCCGTAGGCAAAATCAATTCGCTTTAAGGACAAAGATCGTGGTTCCATTCCCTTTCGTATAAGGGACTGGAGAATAGAGAGAACACACTCAAGTCGCTGCAAGAGTTCAAAGAGACAAGCGATGATAGAATGTCCAGCTGGCACAAGCAAACGAAGCGCGAAGCCAGCACCCTTGTCTTCAATGATCAACGAAGGATCCATCTTTGAGACGAGTGGGACCAAAGATTTGATGCGGGTTTTCAAAGTGCCGTGAGCCATCATTATGACAGAGTGGCTCTGGTTGTCAATTCCATGGAAAGCCAACCGGATCATTTCTTTGAATTGCGACTGCTTCTTTACCCCGAAGGGCAAGGTCACCCGGAACGCAGATGGAAGCGTGGACGAGCTGTAGTTGAAGATAAGATCCGGGACTGTGAGATCTGCTTCTAACTGCAACTCTTTCAACGACGGCCAGAAATGCATGGTTGGCAAGTCTGCCAAATAACGCGCATTGGCATGGATCGCCAGTATTCCAGTGAGACCATGGACCAGCTCGGCGCACGTTGTGTAGTTAAGTCGTCTCTGCGAAGGAACGAGAGTTTCACTGACCACATGGGCCCGCGGAACACTCATGCTATGATCGCCAATGCTATAAAATGGACCCGTTTTCGCTGCCTCGGTTGGCCGAAGTTGAACAACCCACCAGCGGTCACCATCCATGCTACTGGTCGCTGCAGCGACCCAGTGCCGATTCCAAAGGCGATGGGTGAAGAAGGCAGTCCGCATTACACCTGGAGGGAACAGCTTGCGGGGATCAAGCCCCAACACTCTTTGGTTCACAGGTTCGAGACCGAGTGCCTTTGTGCCGGAGTCAATCTCATCCACCGCAGTGATACATCGCAGTCGAGTGACACGAGATAATATCTCTTCTATCGATGATTTATAGAACGCCCGGTCACCATCGAGACGTTCTAGCATGTGTGGTGTCCCACATAGGGTAATGAACCCTGACATAGGTTCGATGGAAACTCGAAGAGAACGTGACGCTGTGAGTTGCACATCAAGGCGACAATCTCCAGGTTCTGTTGGCGATAGTTGGCCCTGTAATGAAAGAGTATGATTGGAGAAAAGGATATGCTTTTTGAGAGTGTTAAATGCGGCAGAGAGAAGGTGTGACGTGTGTAATGCGATGACGCTTCTCAAAATAAGTTCCATAGATAGATCATCTGAGTTGAACCTGATGGCATCGCTGCTGACCTGCTGGCCATCACGCATCCATCGGAAGCCGAGGTGAGATATCCCAGGCTTCGGGTCGCTAGAACTACCACCGTGCTGACCGCTCTTGACTCCGATTTCGAGCCAGCTCTTCGGTCCCGATCTCTGAGGCCAATACTGAACGACAAGTGTTCGATGTAGAAGTTCGATACGCAATGCATCTGCCCAGAGGCCCCGTGAAAGATCCACAGCTTGCCTGCAAAGAATGTTGATTTTGTTCGTAAGAACGAGACCGTGGAGAAATTGGAAACATCCCATCAAACCATCATCACGTAACAAATCGTTAATCTTGCCATCAAGTTCATTGAATATTCGACCTTTTGGGATAGGTGATGATGGCGAGAAAAGAAATCGAATGTCGACGAAGAAAAATTGTGATTCCTTTGATTCTTCCGCGACTGAGAGATCAAGTTCAAATTCACCAGAAATTGTGAATGTTACCCGGCCATCATGGACTCGATAATTGCGTAGTGGGGGCGGCACCGAATCGTGTAATGCCAGCCGCACGCTGATGATTCGGTTGAGTTTAAGTAGCTTTTTGAGTGTTGCCCGTGCTGTCAGTGGCTTAGGAGGTTTGTAACCGAGCTGGTAAAAATATGTTAAGAGTGTTACAAGTAGCAAAAATTCATTGGGGAAACTCACATCTGGCAATGAGGCCACTCGTCCCTTTGATAATACCTCCACGGCTGTTTTTAAATCCGGGTTGGCGACCTGTGCTCGAACAAGATCTCGTTTCACTTCACCGACATACTGGAGGGCTGCGTCATATGATTGGTGTCGTGTGCGAATGAACCCTTGGATATCAATGAGTCTACTAACATCTGCAGCTTGTCGACTCCATTGAGAGAGGACTAGGAGTTTGATGAACTCGGCTCTCTTGGCATGAGCGAAATCCAAGAGTCGCAACTTCTTATGCACATTCTCCGAAGACTGATTACCGGCTGGTTTTCCGTTAATAGGCATCGAACCACCCGAGGCCGGCACTTGTATCGTAGCCAATTCTGTGATCAACTCCGAGAGTTCATTCCAACATTCCTGTACTGAGCGATTGACCAAGGTCCCGAACGGAAAGAATCCTTGTGTAATATGTGGCAGTTTAAAGGGCGCCGTCGGCATGATTTCCACTGCCTTATCTGCGAGCGTTCTTGAGTGTTGATTCGAAGCAGTCCCGCTCGATGCGCCATTGACATAAACTGATCCATTCATGCCGGAGAGGTGAACAGATTTATCGGAATTATTAAAGACATTAGGCGCACCATTCCTAGCCTCATTAAGGCCTGGCCGCCCGACAGATCCCTCGACATTGACATTGTCCATGACGACACCGGGCATTTCTGGAAGCACGGCCGAGCTGTTTTGTGACCGTCCGTCGAAGCGATCCCCTCCTCGGCCCTCTGTACGGCGCAGAATAAGCGACGCAACAAAGGCACTGTTCCGGGCTCGATCCAGTCGGCGCTGGGGAAGGAAGGGAAGCCGAAATCAAAGGTAAGGCCACAGGTAGGTCCTCAATCCGATGCCATGCGTTTCACGGGCCGTGCAAACAGAAGGCCACGCTCATAATCGGAGGGATCTTGGCGCACGGCTTGGGGTTCAAATCGGCCTCTCACGGTTGGTCGAGGCTCGGGAGAGGATGGCAACGGATCGGGATCGGAATCAGTGAAAATGCCCCGGATCGCACAGGTGCCAACTTCGATCTGTCTAGAAACTAGGTGTGACAAGATATGCGATCGCGGATCTAGATATTTCAAGGATGATAGCAGGGTTGTCGCAATGCGAGGAACGCAGCAAAACAATCTGGCACGAAACGAAGGACAGAGTAACTGTCAAAGTAACTGATTGAGGTGGATTTAAAGTTTCATATAGAGTCTGGAAAAGAAGCAGCTGGGAAAGTAAATGAGTGCCCAGAAGAAGACTGGGGGTCAACAATATCTCAAGCCCAAGATGATTTGATCAAAGCGCGATGCGCATGCATTTACCCTACCGCCTTATGTTGGATGCCTTGATGCCTGGCATTGTGATGTAATATATGGAGTATAACAATACGGTATTGGCAGTTAAATATGTATTATTGGAAGTACCACTACAACCAATACAGTACAATTTAACGCTGGCCCTGAGGTTCTTAGTGACTTCTTGGTACCTATACCTTGTAAGAGACCTTCACCTAACAAAGTCAACTTTAAACACCCTCGTATAACCTCACCTCTTTGATACCATTTATCCAACACCATCTAGGCATCGTTTACCCAGCTATTAAACGTACATACTTTATTACCCTGAAATACCGTATTCCTCTTTCATTCATTTCTGGCAATGAACTTGGCTTTCCCTTGCAATGAGTATACAAGAGAATGTTGAGTCTCTTCCTCAATATCCTGGTGATGACACCCGACCAACAAGCAAGAGGGAGCTCGCTGGCTGGTATTGCTATGGCTGGGCTGCCGAGGTTTTTGTAGTATGTGCAATGGGTATGTGTGACTTCTACTTGAATCTTTTAGACATTATCTGATCTGAGAAAGGTTCATTTCTTCCGATAACGCTTGAGCAGATGGCTCGGGATCGGGGTGTTCTGCTATCTGACAAAACCACACCATGTAGCGCAAGTTGGAGCCCCTCGCTGCCATCAGGGTCGGATGCACCGATATATCTTCCTCAGGTGTCAGATGGCGGTCAGTGTATCATCTACTTCCTCGGCACTGAAATCAACACTGCAAGTTTTGCTCTGTATACTTTTTCATTGAGCGTCTTGGTTCAGGCAATCCTGATAATTTCAATGTCAGGAGCCGCTGACCATGGAACCTATCGCAAGAAACTCTTGCTGGTTTTCGCTTTCATTGGTTCAATTGCGACTATGTTGTTTTTGTTTGTGGTCCCCAAAGTTTACCTCCTAGGTGCATTGCTTGCGGTCATTTCAAATACTTGCTTTGGTGCATCTTTTGTCCTTTTGAATTCGTTTCTGCCGGTTCTCGTCCGCCATCACCCATCGCTCAAGGAAAGGGAAGAGGCGATATCTTCAGGCGGTGATGTGATGAGCCCCAATGGCGGCCCGTTGTTTTCTTCCGGAGATATTGACCGAACGAATGTGGATTACTCAACGCCGCTACTCGGATCTAACAGGGAAACCACAAAAGCATCTGCTGCCTCTGTCACTTCCCTCGAGCTTAGGCTTTCCACCAGCATCTCATCCAACGGCATTGGTATAGGCTATATCGGTGCAGTGATTCTACAGGTGTTTTCTATCTTAGTTGTTGTGGTCGTGCGTCCACCAACATTCTCATTACGCCTTGTGCTCTTCCTGATTGGGCTATGGTGGTTTGTTTTCACTATCCCGGCAGCCTTGTGGCTGCGCACTCGACCTGGTCCGCCTTTGCTAGACAGTGACGGCAAACCACTCCATTCATGGATCGGATACATGGTGTATGCCTGGAAATCTCTTGGAAAAACCGTGATGCGGGCACGGCAGCTGAAAGATATCATGATCTTCCTTGCTGCCTGGTTCCTTCTTAGTGATGGAATTGCCACTGTCAGTGGCACTGCTGTACTGTTTGCAAAAACGCAACTGAACATGAAGCCAGCTGCCCTGGGACTGATCAATGTGATCGTCATGCTTTCAGGGGTATTCGGTGCGTTCTCTTGGAGCTATGTATCAAATTTCTTCAACCTACAAGCCTCGCAGACAATCATTGCGTGTATCCTCTTGTTTGAGCTCATTCCACTGTATGGTCTTCTTGGGTTTATCCCGGCTGTGCAACGCGTGGGTCTTGGTCTTCATCAACCTTGGGAAATGTATCCTTTGGGGGCGGTTTATGGCCTTGTCATGGGTGGACTGTCATCATACTGTCGAAGTTTCTTCGGGCAACTTATCCCCCCAGGATATGAAGCGGCTTTTTACGCGCTTTATGCAATCACCGATAAAGGGTCTAGCATTTTTGGTCCAGCCATTGTTGGTGCCATTACAGATCGTTATGGTGAGATTCGACCAGCGTTTGTGTTCTTGGCAGTTTTGATTATTGTGCCACTACCACTTATGCTTTTAGTGGATGTTGATCGTGGGAAACGAGATGCCTTGGCATTGGGAGCTGAATTGGATAGCATACAAGGATCTGAATATGGGACCATATATGACGATCAAACACACCCGATTGAAGAGTAATGTGTATGATATGTCAAGTTGTGAATTTCTTTTTGTTTTCTTTTCTTTTCTTTTTTTTTTTTTGCTTTTGATATATTGGTGATCTACAGAAAATAAAATAAAAATTTAATAGATGTTTTGATACGATAAAGGCCACTTGTCAACAATAAATATCAAGGGCATGTGTCCGTTCCTATTATAGCCTTTTTATACTTATATTATTATTAGGGATTAAGTGCCTAGTACTCCAATTTCCTCATAAATTGACATGGTAGTGGAGGTACCAGGTACCTAAAATTCCGCCCTTGCAGTACTGCATAGCCCAGTCATAAAGCTCCACCTTTAGTGAACAAGCTGTCCTCAAGTTCATTCTTCCCCCCCATAAAACCTTCCCTCTTTCTTTTAAGCTTGTCTTTACTCCATTCTTCTAACCTTAGCATTTTGGGCTTTTGTTTGAATTATCTACAATTATGAGGTCTTTCGCCCCCTTAGTATTGAGTATCCTTGGAGCTACTGCAGTTCACGCTGCTGAGCCTGAAGTTGTTGAGACTGACGCCAATGTCATCACCTTGACAACCGATACCTTTGATGACTTCGTTAAGGAGCACCCTTTGGTACTTGCTGAGTTCTATGCACCTTGGTGTGGTCACTGCAAGGCCCTTGCCCCCAAATATGAAGAGGCTGCCACAGAGCTGAAGGCCAAGGATATTCCCGTGGTCAAGGTGGATTGCACTGAGGAGGAGGAACTATGCCGAACCTATGAAGTTGATGGCTATCCTACTCTGAAGGTCTTCCGTGGCCCCGATTCACACAAGCCTTACGCTGGTGCCCGCAAGTCCGACGCGTAAGTTATCCCGGATTCCTAGATTCTGTGCTTGGAAATTAACGTGTTCTTTTCAATAGAATTGTTTCATACATGACCAAGCAGTCCATGCCCGCTGTCTCAAATGTGAACGCGGAGAATCTGGAGGAATTCAAGGCCTTGGACAAGATTGTGATTATCGGATACGTGGCCTCTGATGACAAGGCCGCCAACAAGAGCTTCACTTCGTTCGCTGAATCCCAGCGTGACAACTTCCTCTTCGCTGCCTCCAACGACGCTGCTCTTGCTAAGGCCGAGGGCGCGAAGCAGCCTTCCATTGTTCTCTACAAGGACTTTGATGAGAAGAAGGCTGTGTACGACGGAAAGCTGGAGGATGAGGCAATCCTCGAATGGGTCAAGACCGCTAGCACTCCTCTTGTTGGCGAGCTTGGTCCCGAGACTTACTCAAAGTACATGGCGGTATGTTTTAGCTTCTTCTGTCCCGTATCCGAGCAAGAAAAGAAACTGACTTTCTTCACTATAGGCTGGTATTCCCCTGGCTTACATCTTCGCCGAGACTCCCGAGGAGCGTGAGCAGTTCGCTGCTGATTTCCGTCCCATTGCCGAGACCCACCGTGGAGCTATCAACATTGTTACCCTCGATGCTAAGCTCTTCGGTGCTCACGCAGGCAACCTCAACCTTGAGCCCGAGAAGTTCCCTGCTTTCGCTATCCAGGACACCACCAAGAACGCCAAGTACCCTTATGACCAGAACAAGAAGGTTGATGCCAAGGATGTCGGCCAGTTCATCAAGGATGTCCTCGACGGCAAGGTTGACCCTAGCCTCAAGTCCGAGCCTATTCCCGAGACCCAGGAGGGACCTGTTACCGTTATTGTTGGCCGCAACTACCAGGAGGTCGTTATTGACAACGAGAAGGATGTCCTGGTCGAGTTTTACGCTCCCTGGTGCGGACACTGCAAGGCGTAAGTCTCCTACGATCTGTCTTCTTTCCTCCCGCATCTCTAATTTGTTCTCACTAGTCTTGCTCCCAAGTACGACGAGCTTGCCGCCCTGTACGCCGATGTTCCCGAGCTGAATGAGAAGGTCACTGTCGCCAAGGTTGACGCCACTGCTAACGATGTGCCCGATTCCATCACCGGTTTCCCCACTATTAAGCTCTACCCCGCTGGTGCTAAGGACTCCCCTATTGAGTACTCTGGTACCCGTACCGTTGAGGACCTGGTCTCCTTCATCAAGGAGAACGGCAAGTATCAGGTGGATGGCCTGGCCGATGGCGCTAAGAAGCCCGAGGAGCGTGCGGAGGTCACCGCTGCCCCCAAGGCCACTGAGTCTCCCGCATCCGATGAGAAGGATGTTCACGACGAGCTCTAAGCGTTTACTCGCTTTTTGAATGTGTAACTCAATATGTATTCTTTGAATTCGAACTATATTCGATGATATTCCCGATAGATCGCTATGTCAAAGCCTAGAGTTTGTAGCTAGTATTGATTAAATCAGTAAATCATTTATTTTCAAAATTCTATAAATCTTGTAAATTCTATAAATTGTATTTAGATCTCAGGCCGATCTCAGCCTTGCAGATCAGTCGCGTCGCGTGGAGGCGCGTCTCTTATCGTCTCCAGTTCCACCTTCAAACTTCTGGGGTCAACTCCTTCTTTACCCATCCATCATGATTAGTCCTGCCGTAAAAAGAAAACCAGACCATCTCTCCGCCCCTGAATCGAAAAAACCCAAAGGAAGCATCACTGCATTCTTTGGACCTCCAAAGCCGAAACCTCCGAGCAATCAATCAACCTCAGCTTCTACCCCAACCCCACGAGCAAGCAGCTTTGATAAGGCAAAATGGGTTGCTTCCCTAACACCGGAACAAAAGGAACTGTTGCAGCTGGAAATTGATACCTTGGATGAGAGCTGGCTTGCTCACTTGAAGGATGAAGTGATCAGCACTGAATTCTTGAACTTGAAGCGATTCCTGAAGAAGGAGAAAGATTCCAAAGTTAAGGTCTTTCCACCAGAGGAGGATATCTATTCTTGGTAAATTTGGATCACCCTATCTAGCCCAAATCCGTGTGTTGACCAGACCGTAGGTCCCGATACACACCCCTGCACAAGGTCAAAGTGGTCATCATTGGCCAGGATCCGTACCACAATCACAACCAAGCTCATGGGCTTTGTTTCTCCGTCCGAGCCCCTGTGCGAGCGCCGCCATCGTTGCTCAATATCTACAAGGGTATCAAGATCGACTATCCTGAGTTCGAGGCACCACCCGACAAGGGAGGGTTACTCATACCTTGGGCTGAGCGTGGCATCCTAATGCTTAATACTTGCCTTACTGTTCGTGCTCACCAGGCCAACAGTCATTCCAACAAGGGATGGGAGAAATTCACTCAGAAGGTAATCGATCTCGTTGCTCGGGTACGAACCAACGGCGTCGTCTTCCTTGCTTGGGGTCGGCCTGCAGGGACCAGGGTGGCAAAAATAAACAAAGAGAAGCATTGTATCCTACAATCTGTGCATCCCAGTCCCCTGAGTGCGCATAATGGCTTTGTGAGTCATCTTCTACCTATCCTTGAAACTGTTAGCTGACAGCATGATATATAGTTCAAAAATGGACACTTCAAGAAGTGCAATGATTGGCTTGCTTTGCGGTACGGAGAAGACGAAATCATTGACTGGAGCCTAGTGCCATCTAAACACCCTCTGTTGGCTCCTTGCGTTTCTGACAAGGAAGATTCAACCGCTTTGGCCAGCGTGTCAGTTGAGCCTCAATCTGCCAAGGTGGAGGATGACAAAGTCAAGCCTAGGGAGGTTGATGAGTTTGATGATGATGATGCTGTTGAAGCCCTGGTGGCAGCTGAAGCAGCTGAGGCTTCTTCATATCCAGTCTAGACTTCTACACACATATCTATTTCGAGGTCTCACCTTAGAAAAGTCCTATTAGCTATGTTTGCTTGTGATTTTTCATGTTTCAGCTAGGAGTGGATAAGGAGTTAAGAAGTTAGGTTGGAATTTCAAATCAGTTTCCGGGTTTTCATATATATATATATATATATATTTACTAGTTGACTAGTTGACTACATAGTAGTTTAATTGTTTAATGTGATTAATAAAAAGAAAAAACGCGTGTCCATAAGCTTAAGCTTATTAGGAAGCTTATCGATAAGGTCAATCTTGATCTTCCAAAATCTCCCTTAAAAAGAACATCGTAAATGATTTAAATGGAACTCACTTGGCTTCCGGATATCCCTCAGTCGCGGAATCGTACTCGAGCCTTACGGGCTTGTCCTACATGTCAACGATCAAAGGTGCGTACGCGAAACAACCTAACAATTCTTCATCTGACCTCGCAACAGAAACGGTGCCGGCATTTAACTCCCAAATGGGAGCCCTCCAATGCTCCGAATCGACACTCACAACCAAACAATGACCCTGCAAGGCCCAGAGACGTCTCGAATCGCGAACAGCTTCCTGAATCCGCGCACATAGACCGAGCGCGGACAACCGATAATCCAGCTTTACCGGTCCTCGCCACTGAGCGATTTGTGGGAGATCTCAATCCAGAATCCCTGATTCGTGAAAGATTGGATGGGCCGACTGGGAGCCCTCTACGGGATCGTATCGGGCTCTGGATTAATTCACCAGCTTCACAGAAAGTGAAGCCTCAGAGCATACAGAGAGGACAAATCACAGCCGAAGCATATGCGACCGATTTCCCGGCCGAAACGGGAATTGATGGCCACGCCATTGCATCGTTACTTCATCAACGGTTTGTCTCGGGGATGCAAGCATGTGAACGACTGCCCCTCGGGACGCGGCAGTATTTGTCCACTATCTACTTCTCCAAGGTTAACCACATTGTGCCAATAGTTGATCAGGAATCTATCCAATCCCAAGCAGAAGGTTTGGCGTCGGTGTTTCTAGAAAAAGCCATATGTCTCGCCGCAGCAAAGACCCACGCGGCCAATCCGTACTTACGCCTTGTGTCAGGCGGCCCGATTCTATCGTCTCGCCAATTCTGTTCTGAGATTTATAAGGGGCTGGTTGTCGCCATGGATGCAGAGCTAGAGCCAGATCGGTTAACACGGATCCGCATCCTTGCCCTAATGTCCTTGCATTGTGAGGGCCTGGAAGGGGCTGAAGCAGCGTCTCTACACCTCTGTCAGGCTATCCACCAGGCCCAGACGGTAGGATTGCATCTCGGTCGGCCGAATCAAACCTCCACAGATTCCCTGACTAACCTTTTTTGGTGTCTATGGACATTGGACAAGATGCATGCAAGTATCGGTGGCCGGCCGGTTCTTCTAGCTGACCGTGATATCGCGGTCATGAAGCCCAGTGTTGGCGCTCAAACGTCGCGAGGGGCTTTTAAGGTGTGGCTTGCTGTATCAGACCTTCTCGCAACTGTCATATCGTTCTATCGACCCTCCGCAGAAACCACAAGCGGGTGGGAAGAGGGGTTCCCTGCATTTGAGGATATTGTGGGGGAGGATACGCAAGATGATCTGGATTTTGCTACTCTAGGTATGTCTATCATAGAGATCTCTGCCGTGCTATCGGATCTTTGGACTAACTGCGAGCAGGCTTCTTAGAGCTTTATTATCATTCTGTGGCTATTTTGTCCTGTCGGTATAAACCCACTGAGAACATCGATAGCACCAGACTCTCGTCTGTCAGACAAGGACTAGCAGCTGTTCGCATACATTCCATCGTCGCATCAGAGTGTGCAGATGACCTACCACCTCTTCCAATTGTGCCATATTCGGTCGCCTTGTCGATGGGTGTCTCATACAGACAACTCCGCTCGAGCAGACTTATCACGCATCTCGATCGAGCGAAGGCCAGTCTTGAAGCATGCCGCTCTGTTCTAGAAAACCTTAGTCTATACTGGTATTCCGCCGAGGCGATGGCCCGGTTGGGCCAAAAAGCCTTGCACCAGATTCAAGGCAAGCCACAGTTCTCCCGAACAAACCAGATGGGTCCACGGCATGTGGTAGAGTCTTCCCATAAACAAGTCAACCCTGAAAGTTCGTTATCGGAAGGGGTAGAGACGATTAATTCACCTCAAGACAATGATTCCCCCCGAGCCAAGAGGCAGCGCAATAAAAGCCATGGAATCGCCGCTATATCTCCGCCGGAGATCGCAATGGACGCTCTCCAGCCTCCAATGGATAGTCTAGATGTATCTATGCAAGACGGGCTTGCAGACATTGACACACTATTCGGCGAGTTCCTAGACATCTCTCTACCCACCAATTTCTGGGATCCTGTTTTTATAGAGACACAAGGGCAAACAAACGATCCGCGGTCATAATCATCATCATTATAAATATATACTGTGTATAAAAAAAATGAAAAGAAACTATACATGATGCAGCGTGAATTTTAGTGCCGGGTCATCCACCTGTGCAACCTTCCAATAGGTATGGAGATAACACCCGGGGGCACGTGAGAAGCCATTCGTATTTACAGGCCAGGGACTATATCCAAGCCCGAGTCGCCTCTCGGATATAGTATTCAGTCTGAAAGTTTCATAGCCTCATGCTCGGACATGTTGTTGTCCGCTAGGTGAGCGAAATCAACAGCCTTGGTATCAGTATCAAAGCCCATCATGTTCACGTTATCAACGTCAAAACCAAACCCCTTCTCCTGATCCTGGGCACCGTTTTGTTGGGCATTGTCATCAGCAAAGAAATCGGCGTTGCCCGGATCATCAAAGTTGATGAGAGCATCGAAGTCATTCTGAGTAACCTCGGCATCATTTGCCAGATCCATGAGTTCGGTAAGACTCATTTCAGAGGGCATAACAAACGCATCGCGATTCTTGTTGCGGTTGGCATTTGGATTGAGGTTATTGGTGCTGCCGTTTTCGCTTCCATCGGAATGCGGCGGCGTCGAAGCGAAAAGGTCTCCGGTGGACAGTCCGCCCGCGGCAAGACCGGAGAGTTTTGGGTATGTGAGGTCCGGGATCTTCTGAGCAAGGGAATCCGGCGGGGGTGTCAGAGTGTGTAGGCGGGAGGGAATAGTGGTGGTAGAGTCGAAGGGGTCTGCGGATGTGGTAGGTTGATCGCGGGCATGTGATGAGGTAGAAGAAGACTGTACGTCTTGGGGGGAGACGGTAAGCTGGATCCCTGCTTTGCGGATTGCGGCTTCGAGGAAGGAGGTGGCGAAGTCTGCGGAGGCGTATATCTCGCGCAGGCGCTGGAGGATGCGCATGCATTGATAGAAGCGATTGAGGCTCGTCATGCGGATGCTAGGGTCAGTGGACTTGATGTCGAGGAGATGGATGATGACAGCTGGTAGGAGGACTGTGACGCCAGTGGTGGGGTAGTACCGGGTCAAGTCGAGGCAATGTAGGTCCTGAGCGATGGCAGTGATCTCGACTGCGGCGAATCGCACCTTGTTCCGGGACATGTCTTGGAGTTCGGCGTCCGTGGACGGGTAAGGAGTGGCGGGGAGAACTTGTGGGCGATGCAGAGCGCTGGATGTAGTGAGGTAGACCATCTTCAACAAGGCACGGTGGGAGTGAAGCACTTCGTCTGCTTCGGATAGCTTCGATCCACTAGAGGCTACATATTGGGTTTCGATAGGGAGGTTGGCTAGCCAGTCCTCCAATTCCTGGTCACAACTTCGTACCTCAAAGGTCTCCGCGGTGGACTTCTTCGGGACAAGCATCATCGTGGTCTCCATAGTGCCACCAAACTTATGGCTGAGGACCGAGTACTGGGCTGACAAGACATGGCTGACGCAGAGACAGAGTTTGGCTTTCTCGATGAACATCAACGCGAGCTCGCGTTGATGGTTGACATTCTGGAGAATCTCCGAGTTACCAACGATAGCCACGATCTCGGGGGAGAAAGGACGGAATTCAAAGTCATCAAGACTCAGCATAGGCACATCACAATCGTCATCCTTAACACGCATAGGCCGTCGCATACCCAGGGCGATCAGTCGGTCACGAGTATACGTACTCCACCAGATCCGCTTCCACATCCGTTGGCGACGCACATCCATCCGCGAGTTTCCGGGATCCCGGTGCAGACCGATTGTGTGGGCCAACGACAGGCTGACACCCATCCAGTGCCAGGTGTCTTTTTGATCATCGGGAGTCTCGTACCAGTAGGTCATGAGCAGAAGCGACTGCACGAGCGAGATGCGGTCCACCTCGTAGTCGAAATCGTACAGGAGACGAGCACGCTGGAAGAATACCTTCCGGGCGACCTTGCGGGTCTGGTAGCCTGCGGCCTGCAAATGCTTCATATCAATGAAGGCCACACCGGCGAACATGACGGCCTGGAAGAGTAGCAGACTGATGCGGTGGATTCCATCGTTCTGTGAGATATTCTGCAAGAACTCCTCTAGGTCGAGTAAGGGCATATAGGTGTGAACATAGTGGATGTAGCTCTTCAATAGTTCGTTCCGGAGTGGGACGTCAGGGATGGTCAAGGCACCCTTGACGGCCAAGTAGTCAATATCCTCTTTCTGGAGTCGTGCCGGGAGTCCTCGGATATAATCCGGGAGGAACCCACTGGCGGACCGTGTATTGCCAAAATTGGGGTCTAATAGTTGTTGGATTTGCGAGGTCACATTGGCTAATGGCATAGAGGCGGGAACTGCTGGGTTTGGGGCCATGCGGCGTCGATAGTGGTCATCGGAGCCAATGCGTTGAGCCTGATTTTGATCTGTTTTTTATTTTCCCTTGTCAGCCAGATGGAGTTCCTAGGGTTCCAAGGAGATTGACGAACATAGCAGATGTGGCATATGCTGGCCCTGATCCAAATCCACCGAGGCTTGTGAGGGAGACGTTGGCACTAAATCGGCCAACCCTGAAAGATCACTGAGTCGGTGGAAAGGATTCTCCTCCGAAGCCTCCGGAGATTCAGAGTGGTTCTCTATCTCAACGCGAGATTTCCTAAATCACATGTCAGTGATGTTTAAGAGGCAAAATTAATTTCCAATTCCACGAACTTTCTGCGTTTACTCTCCGTGACCACGCACTCCACCTGATCCAAACGGCAATTTGTACATGGGGAGCCATTCTCGACCACATCACAGCGCACTTTACGGGCACGGCAGCAGCAACAGGCTTTTGAGGCGCGTCTCTTCACGGGACGGTTATGACCAGAGAGCCCGGCCGTGGAGGCCTTTCGTTTCCCAGATTCAGTATCAGTCATGTTGTGTTATTTGTGTCCGGGGGCGAATGGGGGACATTCGAGTTATATAAAGACACTGAGCATGTGACGGGGCTGAAAAGGGAAGAAAGTCACGATGAGCATGTGAAATTGGGAGGAGGGAAAAAAAAAAAAAGAAGAAGGAGAAAAGGAAAAGGTCAAAAGAAGAAATAGAGAGAGGAATCCTTTTTTTATTGAAGGTTTTAAGTGCCCCAGGTTCCCACAGTTTCTCTTACCATGGTTTAACCCGCAAACAGCCAAGGTTTGAGGGGAATAGATCGAAAATAAATTACTGTTATCCCCCAGTATTACCAGTATTAAACATATTATACCCAACCTTGGAACAAGAACCAATTAGGTAATATACCACTAACACCCGGGGCCTGGGGATCGCCTTTATAACTACCGTCCCTCGGCCCGGTCACGTTACACACACGACTCCATGTGAAAGTCTATGATATCATATTATCTTCACCCTCTTAAGAGTCGGGCTATATACTGCTATTACTCGAGATTTCAAGTCGAGATTTCATCTACCTTTGATTCCTTTCATTACAATATAGGCCTCCGAGAAACACCGATAAAAAACAAAGCTAATAAGTGAAGATCCTAAATTGCGGGAATAAAAGGGAGTGTTCATTTTCCCACATTCCCCCGACTGTCCCGGACCTTTCAGCCAAGACTGGAGAATTCTCCAGTTCCCGACAAGCGGAGCCTATGTGGAGGGATTTTGGCGCTTTTTGAAGCGTGTCTGGAAGTCTGGACGGACCGATGAGTAATACGATCAACACTCCAAGGCTCCCCGACCTCGGGAGGTTCTTTTGAATTGTCAATGTTGTACGGAGTACAAGTATTGAATATATCTCATGCTGTTCTCTATACAGAGTACAATACACATAGAATTTTTAATAGCATAAAGGCTCCCTTACTATGTATTCATTCCCAGGGATATGCATGAGACAATTAAAATACAAGTTACGTGAGGAAATATACCTTGTATCCACCCCGGAATAAATGGCAAACCGGGAATGGAGTACCCCTGAACGGGCCAAAATGAATGTATCCGTGTTTCACCCCGGCCTGCCGAGTTAACCCTCACGTGGACAAAGAAAGTGCCGATTGTCGGAAGAATGTAGCATTTAGATGCTACATATTACTATACCTAGGTACATATTACTACTCCGTATATACACAATAAATCATGTAATATGCAGAATTCAATACCCTTTTGTTGAAAAAGAATAGAATGACGCCATAACTCCGCTAAAATTCTCAAATTGGAATTTCTTTTTAAGTTCAGAAATTCTTTCCTCTCACGAGGACGAGAGCGGACCCAGTGGGACGCCAATCACGAATATGGCAAAGGTCACGACGGAGTACTCCGTATATTAAAATTAAAATTCTTTCTGTCCGGCATATTCCGCTAAAAATGAATATTCTGGGGTATAAAAAGTCAAAAAAGCAAACCGATGCTACCCGAACCCGTTATAACAACCTTTTTTTTTTTTTCTTTTTCTTTTTCATTTTCATAGATCTAGACTTTTAAATGTCATTGACAGATTAAATAACTCGCCAAGAACTAAACGGCAAATCCGGCACTTCACCCCACGTTTTGTTAGTGGGGGGGAAATATAAAGGATTCAATCCTCTTTATAATGCGGGGGAAATACTTTGGAAGTATACCTTAAGATCGAGATCCTATGAACGGGATTAATTCCATATATTCCGGTATTCAACACGTATTGAAAGTATCGGGGAGAATCCCGACTTCTAGACCTCAACATTAAAAACTCAACTCTATGCGGGCACAGGTAGTTAGAGTCACAGCCTCGTAGAACTGGCACAATAGACCTCACTCTCAATTCTACGGAAACATGAGCCCCATGATAGTGAAAGTGATCCCGATGTGATAGCGAAGATACTGGTTAGTGAGGTCATATCATAGGGCTAGGTGACTGCCAAGGTCCTACTAGAAACTGCTGACTTGGCATCTGAGATCCCTCTGATGCCCTAAATATCCAAGACTACAGCTGCTTAATCACTGCCTAGGATGATCTTGGCATACAGAAATACAGAATCCTGGGATCGTTAAATCATTTCATATCACTATTTAGTGACCCAATCTCAATCAGACCCCCCCTGCCTAGACCAATCTTAGCAGACGCCGAGAAATAGAAGTAGACATAAACATCGTAATCCAAATGTACCTAAACCGTAAAACATTAAAACATCTGCTGCCGGGGAATCAAGATGGGAATGACCCCATAAAGTAAAAAAGAAAACACAAAACCAAAATCAGAAGAGAGAATCCAAGCCAAATCCATAAAACCTAAACACCACCGCGGCCCATCCTCTCGATTGAACTCATGATCCCGCCTCGGCCGGGAGTAGGCATTGCAATGCCAGATCTGCCACCGCTATTACCGCGAGAATGACCGCCGGGAGCACCGAATCTAGGAATTCGCTTCTCTGTAGTGGCGGGGGGACGGATGCTTCCAGACACAGAACGACTGACACTGCGACGGAAGTCATCGGGGGTAACTTCGTGGGCCGGCTGAGCTACTGGCTCATCAATGTGATCGTTATGCACAGAAGATGCCACAGAGGGTTCGCGGTCTCGAGGCTGAGATGGAGCGGGCGCCTGCTGCATAGCTAGCCACTCGTCAACGGCGGCAACAAGCTCGCCCTTCTCGGCGCGTTCAGACTCCAAGTCTGCACGAATTCGCTCGGTATCATCCTTCAGAGCAGCCATCTCTCGCTGCAAGCCCTTGATCTGGGCCTCCATGACACGCTTCTCGGCCTCATGCTCCTCATTCTCGCGAGCGAAGAGACTGGTGTTAGCCGCGGCCATTGAATCAGATTGCGCAGTATCAAGTTCAACACGGAGATGTTCATTTTCCTGGCGTGCGGCAGTGAGCTTCTTCTCCGCCTCACGCAGACGTTTCTCCCAGCGAGACTCGTAGCTCTTTTTCAAGGCTGCAACCTTGGTCTCATGCTTGCCCTTGTAGAGCACATGAAGCTCGCGAGCGACCTTTTCAACGGCATCCTGAACTTCTCGAGCAGTGTCTTCGGCCGAGTTGGAAGGCTGGCGAGATGAGCTAGCTTTACTGGTGCTAGAGACAGCCGCAGAACGTGCAGCGGAAAGCTGGCTTTCCAGCTCGACAACTTTGCCTTCCAACTTCTCCTTGCTTTTTTCGGCCTCGTCGGCCTTTCGAGACAGACGGTCACGTTCGCGCTCTCCCTCCACTAATTCGGAGCGGGCAGACCGCAGGACAGTTTCCATCTCATTGACTCGACGTTCCCATTCGGCCTGTTCCATCTCCAGTACCTCCTTGCCGGCGGCTTCGTTGCGTACTTCTTCTAGAGCTTCGCCGACACGTCTTTCGGCGTCTGCCACTGCTTGCTTTAGGCTGGCAACCTCAGCCTCTTTGCCGCTGAGGGTGGCTTTGAGCGAAGATATATCAGACAAGAAACCCGACTTCAGTGACTCCAATTCACGGGGAGTGACCGAGGGAATGGATCGAGGGGTAGGCGCAGCCGGAATATCGAAGTCCAACAGTGACGACATCTTCCCGGGAGATCGAATAGATTGCCGCGCCGATCGGATGGGCGGACGTCGGGAGGGGGAGAAACGGGCACTCGACATGGACTGACGAGGGAAGAAGTTCATTTGATCGGTGAAATCAAGGAGATTGGCAGAGTCAACTGGATGAGCCATGTCCCGAGGGCCTCGTGGTCTCGGTGTAGGCGATCCCATAGGTGAGTTTGCATCTAGATAGGTGCTCGCTCTATATACCCTGCGCCCTGCGCTTGGGGTAGCTGGGTCGACACTCCGTCGATGTCCGTCCATATTAGGAGCTGGGCTCGGTGCGACACTGCCTCGCATTGACTTCACCGGCGACTGGGCGCGGAGCTTCGCAAATGTAGTCATATCAGGCATGGCGGAAAATGTGCTCAAGCAAGTGTCATCTATCGAGTCGTCGACCATCGAATTCTCGTGTGAAATATTCTCTTTGTCACCATCTTCCTGGAGTACTGTGCTCATCCCTTCGTTGTGCCTGTCCTCTATCATGCTGTTGCCAATTGCTGATCGGTCGTGGACGGCACTTGTAGCGGAGAGGACGCTCTTGTCATGAGATACACTAGACTCCTCTTCGACATCGATGTGTATCGCTGGTGCATCTGGTCGGCTCACCATGCCCTTCTTATGGCGCTCGTTTTCCTGCAAATCATCCTCCGGATCCTGGGGTGTTTCGTCGTAAGATCTTTTGCGGGGAGTTGCTGCAATAGAGCGCTCGTCATTCCGCCCAAGCGACGCACGAGAAACCTGGCGCGACTTGTGAATATTGAGGCTGTTTTCCTTAAGACTCAGCCGGAAGGACGAAGTAGGTGCTGGAATAGGGGAAGACGAGTTGGATGCTACCGATGACTCCGCAGGCGCATGCATATGGGGAGAATCAACTGCCGCTGGTGCTTCGTCGCGAATGGGCAAACCCGATTCCGCGGCAAAGGATGAACGCTTAGATGCCACTGGTGAGTTTTGCTTCAACTCGTGTGACTTCGGTGGATCAGCCGTCTCTGGTGCTTCAGGGCGGATTGCTGAATTCGGTGTCACGACAGGCGAGGAAAACTCAGGCGCAACTGGTGGACCTTGTTGCATCTCACGGAGCTCCAATGGATCAGCTGCCACATTTCTTGCCTCGTGGCGAAAAGGCGAAGTAGCGGGATCGGGCAATGGCCGTGCTTTAGAAATTGGCGAGTCATTCTGCATTTCGCGCAAGCGATCAAGGTCGACCGTCTCTTCCCGCGCATCAGGCCGGAACGGGGAGCTTGCAGGCTCCTCTAGAGCCAGCCGTACCCCTAATCCAGGAGACATAGGCTGGACCTCGCGCAGTTTTTGAAACCCCGCTGTCTCTTCTCGGATATGAGTCCGAAACGGAGAAATTCCCGGGCTCTCTTCCTCCAATGGCTGAAGTTGTGGGCATGGCAGAGGAGAAGACTGTTGCTCTTCGTGCATATTTTGGAGATCAGCAGTATCTTCACTGGCGTTAGGACGGAAGGGGGAGCTCATTGGCTCTCCCAGAGCCAGTCGCTTGTCCAAGCCTGGTGACATAGGTTGCACCTCGCGCAATTCTCGAAAATCGACTGTCTCCTCTGTTGGGTGTGGACGGAATGGAGAGCTTACAGGGCTCTCCTCCTCTAGCGGTTCAAGTTGTAGGTGTGATTGGGATGAGGTCTGTCGCATTTCGCGCAGCTTCTGGAAATCTACGGTATCTTCGCGTGCATCAAACTGGAATGGTGAGCTGGCACCTTGTTGGTATGATTCGGCATCGTCGAAATCGTCATTATGTTCATTCTCGTTCTCCGGTTCGTTAGGACAGTAGGTATCGTTTTCATCATAGGCGTTTGAACTTGGCGCAGCATAGCCTAACCACCCCCTCTTCAATGGACTTGAGAGAACATGTTCCGAGGGCTGGTCAAGGGTCTTGTGAATGAAGGGCGAAGAATTCGCCATTTGAGATTGTGCGCGCGCGTTCTGGTAGGAGGATGAGAGGGGCGACAGTGGATTTGACATAATGAAAGCAGAAGAAATAGAATTGGTTAATTGTAAGAGGTCGTCTCTGGTCTGTTGTTAGAACCAGTTTGGACAAGAGGAAAGCAGAGTTTGTGTATACAAAATCGTTGCTGTGTTGACGTTGCTTGGTAAACAAAACTAGTCCTAATTAGGAAAGGTGCATCCAATCTATCTAATCGGAGTCTTGGACTATACAGACCTCGGGACTATAGAATAATCTGTCCTTAACAATCTAGGACTTCAATAATTTGATTTATTTGGTCAATGATATTAGGGATATTATATTCAAGATATCTGATGTCTCTTTAGATGACCTTTTACATGTGCCTTATACATAGGTTTTGCGCCTTAGTGTTGTAGCTCATAGGATACTGATTAACAGACTATAGAATCGGTAGAAAGCATAATTCCTACATGGATAACGTGTACAATACCCAGGGAAGAGGATCTTGAGAGATTACTGATGAGCTGATTTTGATATAAGGCCCTGAAACAATGGCTTTGTTGATCGTATTATGAAATTTATGATTCTATAAGGGTAGAACTACAAGGAAAAAAAAAAAAAAAGCAACCCCGGTCGACCTTCTCTTTCTTTTTCTTAATCCGACTCTATTACCGCTTCTGTGTGTGCATCATGTCTATTGACAATGATATGAACGATTTCATCGTGTGGCTGATCTGGAAGAGCCACGTAATGACAAACAGCTGCTGGCTCCACAGTTGCTGATGAACGTCTGTCACGCTGGATATACCACAGCTGTAAAGCACCAACTAACGCAACGAGACTACTCCCCCACCAGGCAATACCAGTGCAGCCAATTTCAGCTCCAAAGCTATAAAAAAAGCCAGCAATTGGAGGAGCGAGAGTTCGAGATGCAGCCCCGGCAGAAGCAGCGAGGCCATTGATTTTGCCCATGACGGAGTCTGAGGGGCTAGCTTGCTTGATGAGGATCAGAAGGATAGGATAGTCAATAATGGACAGGATATTGCGAACGATCAAGCAAGCATAAATACCAACATAGATGAGTTGGGCTGGCAAAAAGACCAGGAAGGGAACCATGAAGTATGCGATTGGATGGAGCACCGTAACGATGATGAAGAGCCGCCAGATTCCCAGGTAATGTGCTAACACGGGGAAAATGATACTTTGAATCACGAGAGCGATAATGCCATCAGAGGACATGATCACGCCTACAGCTCGAGTCGAAAGACCGACTCCGCCTGGGATATCAAAGGGGGAGTGGCGCAAATATGGCAATTCTCGGGGGTCCTTGTCCTGCAAGAAGATGGGCAAGAGATGATCATATGTCATCGAGTGATAAGTAAAGATCGCCAACGCAACTACAAGCATGATTACTCGCCAAGTGAAAGCTTTGGGCTTTGGCACCTTCTTCCACGTCGGCGAGGAGCCATCGGCTTGCACATTCCAATTCTCATCATTATGCAGGTGAACCCGATTGAAGGTCCCGTAAGACTCCGCTCGCAAATCTACACCAGCATTGGCAGTTGCGCCAGATGTAACCAGAAGCGGCTGCTCAGCTGCCTGGTCGAAATGCCCATGGACCTCTCCGGGCTGCATCTTGGGATGAGTCTCTTGCAGGAACAACCAGCTACCAGCAATGCTAAGAAGAAGTAAGACACAGCAAACGAGGTTGGGTAAAAGGTAGGGGAATTTTCCAAAGAGGCCATCGGGTGGAAATAGAGAGGGGAATCCCTCAGCTGGCTTTGCTAGCAGACCTCCAATGGCTGAAGCAGATTAGAGCTTGCAGTAGAATTCTATTGTGGGGAATGCTATACATACCTGGGCCGATAATCGTTCCAATTGACCAAACAAAAGGCATGATAGCATATGCTCGAGCTAGATACAAGATTAACATCAGACTCCGCTACATAGAATGGTGATAAACTTACGTTCATGTTCAGGTCGCTTAACAAGCTCACCGACCATTGTCTGGATTATTCCAATATTTCCATTCAGGGCTCCACCAAGAGCTCGACCGGCGAGCGCAACCCAGAAGTTTGAGGCGATGCCCACCATGATCAAAGAGGTCATAGTTCCAACACAGCCAGATAGAAGGATAGGCTTCCGGCCCAGACGGTCTGAAAGAGCACCCCAGAACATACCGGTTAGAGCCTCTGCGAGCGAGAATGCCGAAATCAAAATACCAGCATAGAAGGAAGCATTGTTCCCATTATCCATATGGAAGTCCTTGACCATCACCCACGAGTAGGGGAAGATAGAAGTCAAGGCGATGGGCTCTGCAACCCGGCATATTGCTGTTTCGTTGTGTTAGTCATTGTCAAGTACTCCCGATGTCCGTACAAACCCAGGGACATGACATACCTAGGAGGAAAAGCTGTGCCGTGGGAAAACTGTCAGGTGACGGATGTGATCTTCCCTGTGGTGTCAATGCCATAGTTCTTCAGAAGTAGTTAAGATCTTACGGCAATCCACCTAGCTGTCAAATCGAATATATCCCACTGCACTGCCCGTACCTTGCGAGCGGGGAAATATTCTGTTGTTTTTCTTGATTTCCTTTCTCAAGTCAATTAGTTTATGGTATTTGCTTGAGAAGACAACCCGAAGATCAACTTTGGAGAGAAGTTGAAAGGGCGTGAGGGAGAAGCTTCGGGAAGAGATTTAATTTTCCACAACCAAGAACGGACAAATGACCCCGATCCCCAACCTAAAGCAATTGATATTTTCTCAAATATGATTATACATGGGTATACGGAGTATATCTCTTTAACTAGAAACTTATATGTCTCCCCACGTGATGAAAAGATTTTCAGGTGGCGAACTATACGTTCGGGTATTTTCGGTTATATTTGATTAAGAGTAATAATTACCCAAGGTAACATAACCATGGAGTAATATGTATACATACATACATATATATATATATATATAAATGCATTATATGTGCAATAATAAATATATAATATGTAAGATATAAGATGTAACTAAAATAAACATTGATTTCTTCTCCACTCTGTTTCTTATATACTGATCAGCCAATTAAAAGGCCATTTCATTTTGGACCTGCAGATCTGCCGCATATGGACTTAAGAAAACATCAGATACATGACATTGAAGAATTCCAAGGTTGAATATAATGTTTATATAATCTTACGGATTACCAAAATAATTCACTGAGGCTGCAAAAGCGACTAATGAAGGATTTATATACATATTGTAGCTTGTATGTTTATGGATTTGAGGAAATTAGAAATCTCACTATTCAACGATCAGAATGCTAAACACAAATAATTTCTATCCTTGACCAGAAAGTAAGAAATGAGGGTATGGAAGACCCAATGTAACCAAAAAAAAAAAACAAAAACAAAAAACAAAAAGAAAAACGATGAGCATAAGAAAAGATAAGCAGAGATGCCTTCACCAATCCATTGCGCCGGCTAACCCACACATGCCATGCGGTCCGGATTGTATCTAGATACCAAAGAAAGCCAAACTGGAGAAGAAACAGAAAGAAACAGAAAGTAAACGACTTTCACGAAGTAGCCTCTGGGTGCACGGGGGAACTAGTGATCTCGACAGAGCGAGTCTCGAGTTCTTTAGGAAGGGTACCGGAGTCATCACGGGACTCCACACGAGACTCGACGACAGGCGCCGGTTGAGGGTTCACCTCCGCTAAAGGCTGGTGAACGGACGGAGTGGCACTCGAAGACGAGCCCTCGGTCCTGGTATTGTTGGAGGTATCCTCGACATGTTCCGTAGAGTCATCCGCTTTCTCCTCATCGCCAATCACAGCAGCTAGACTGCGAAAATTGAACATTGGCTCAAGAGAGTGGGGGTTGGCCACTCCACCAGCGCGGTCACCTGTGCCATCCTCTGGGGTGGTTTCCATGACAGAAGAAAAAGACGAGGAGGCACTGGAGACCTGCCGCAGGTGAGATGGCCGTGACGGCTCAGACTGATCCGCCGATTGATTTGCTGGCGCTACTGAATCAAGCAGTATAGGGGTGTTTGTTTCTTCTGTAGTCGATGGCAAGACACGGTCAACCCCCTTGCCTTTGCTACCAGCAGCAATTTCTTCACCAATGATATCCTCGCCGATGACAGAGGATGAGCTACTAGTCCCCTTACCTAAACTGGATTCGCCAAGGATATCCAAAGCGGAGGCGCTAGCATTATTGCTGTATAAGCCAGTCTTGCGAGCCACCTTATCCGCTTTCTTGGCCTCCTTCTCCTTCTCCTTCTCCCTCCTTTTGGCCTCCTTTCTTGCCTCTTTCTCCTCCCGTCTGAGGCGCTCGTCTTCGCTGGCCAAGCTCAGTCGGATAGCTTCCATCATCATCATTTCCTCAAGATCGTCAATTCGATTGCGCCTCGAACTCGATCGAGGAGCAGCCGGGCTACCTACTCCTTCTTCGGCAGAGGCAGAATCAGTGTCTTGTCCAGTCGTTCGAGACGCCCGATCAGCACCAGCACCAGCACCAGCACGCTCTGTCAAGAAAGCCAATGCATTGAGGGCGGGCGAAGCGGTCCGGCCGCTATTCCCCTCCCCACCGGTAGCTCTTCGCATTCCTCGCCGTCCGATGCCAAAGCCACGCGAGTCACTCCCGGATGCATTGGGGTTGATCAAATATGCCGCAGTATGAAGCGCAGTCGCTGCGGCAGATCGACGTGCCGCGTGGGCTCGTGCATTCGATAATTTGGTGGCCCAGTCCGGGCGAATCCTATCCGTTGTCACCACTGTGGGGTCACTGGCGGATAGTGAGGTCGCACGGCGGCGACCCGGAATGGCGGCGGTAGCAGAAGATAAAGAGGAGGTGGAGGATACGGGGGAAACGAAGTTAGGTGAGAGTCGAGCGCTAGGGTCTGCAGCATAACTTAGGCCCCGACGGAACGAGGGAGGTAAATAGGTGACTCCAAACTCGGGCTGGACACAAAAGGGGCATGCCGAGGGCTCGGAGACCAGCTGTGACTCGGCCGACTCAGGCTGCTCTCCCTCAGCTGAAGGAGCATTCGCGTTAGGCTCTCCATGCTCTGGGGGGTGAGGGTCCGGGCGCTTGATCTGCACGAAACACTCGGAGCAAATAGGCTGATCGCAGCATCGGGTACGGTTTAAATACGGCGGGTAGTAGAGGAAACAGATAGGACATTCGCTTGCGTCTTTGTACAAATAGACTTCGATCGGCTGTCCGTTGACAAATGGGTCCTTGGGAAGCTGCAGTTCCCGGGGCGTTAGATCTGTTTGTGAATTTTGCTTGGAGGTGGTCAAAGCAGCCAAGGTCTTCGCCCTCGTTCGAAAGAGAGGGGAGGTGGATGTCCCGGATGCGATCGGAGATGCGGAGGGTAATGACTGAGGGGGGTTGGAGGACTGCGAAACATCTGAATTATAGGATTGCGATCTGGACGTGATCGGCACTGTCAGTTGCTGAATATTTGTCGGATCGGCAGAGGCCTTGTCTGTGGTCTTGGATAATTTGTACTCTAACTCGGGCGGAATCTCGTCGGGCAAGGGAATCGGCATGCCTCGTGCGGCGGCCATAATCTGATGCTCAGCCCATGCCTCCGAGAAGTCATTAAGACCTCTCCAGAAGGGAGCTAGTCGGCGTTCAATCTAGCCTGCTGTCAGTGGCTAATTTGCATCAAGAGAGATCTCAGGAAAACCTACCATCAGTTGGCGCACCACTACCTTATTGTAGTCTTCTGTCCCCACGTACACGCCCTGCGTCACAAGATAACCTCCATCGACATGCTCCTCTTTCATACTGCGCTCCCTCTCTTTAAGACGAGCCACCCGTTCCTTCTCCAAGCGGCGGGCCTCGCGCTCTTGTTTTGTCTCCCGCCGATGCTCTAATGTGGCAATCTCTCGATCATGACTGCCGATTCCAAGAATCGAAAGATCAGGCCTACTACCTCTTGCTGACCGAGAACCTTGATACGGCCTTGAGCTATCGGAGGCGCCCGAGGATAATTGATGACTTCGACGACTTGATGGGGCTGTGGAGCGTGACTCCTTGGTCTGAGAGTTTCCCATATTGGAGATCCCAGATAGATGAGGGGAAGGATAGGGAGATTGGCGAATGTTAATCCCCAAGGTTCACGGGTGGTTTAACTCCGAATGGATATGGCGGGAAAGGGCCCCCAAAGGGGGGTTGAATTTGTATTGGTGCAGTAGAAATGATATAAAGGAGATGGGGGGGAGGGGAGCCAGAGAGTGGAGGTAAGAGGAGTAACTTCAGAGCGGGGGGGGGTTGTGATCTGTCCGGAGTAACTGGGGAAGTGAGATCGGTAAGGAATTTCTACAACCCCCGGTGAAGCCGAAACTAAAAAAGAATGTTTAGTTACAGATTTTAATTCAAGAAGATTCAAAAAAGATTCAAAAGAATTCAAGTAGAAAGAAGTACCGGATGTGGCGGATGTTATTTTTTGTTATTTTTTGTTAAATTTTTTTTTTTTTTACCTGTTTATGTTAAAAGGCCTTCATATAACTATAACTATAACTAGTTATGTTGTAGACATAATACTACAACTATGCTTAGTAGAAGTAATTAAACAGTTAAATAGTTAAACAATTCTTTAGATAGAAACCTTGGAAGATTACACTCTTTTGAATGTATCACAGGACTAGTATTAAGTACAATTAGAGATGAAGTCATGGGTACTTAACGAGAGGGCTTTAGTTAGGCAGAGAGCTCATTCAGGCCCATTCAGGCCCATTCAGGCCAATTCAGGCCAATTCAGGCCAACATCTAATCTTGAAATCACATTAGCCAATAGACATTCACTTTCAAAAAGGCGGTGGCATAAAATAAGTTTGTACATTATTTTTGCCAAAAAGATTGAAGCTTTGGACTTTTTCCCCAAATTTTACATTGAAGCCTTGACATCCTCCACAGGTTATGCATTAGTGATAGCCTACTCATTCTCACTACCAAGAATTATCTGGCAATGACTGAAACGACTAGACTGCATATTACGCCTTTCACCCAGGATATCCTTCCATCGGTGCTGCCAGCATCAATTCGCAACTTGGCCTCAGATATATCTTTCCACGAGATTCCCACTTTCCCAGAGAATAACTACGGATACGTGACTCTGCCAAACATGGAAGCGGAAAAGATCAAGAAGAAGCTGAACGGCTCAATGCTCAAGGGCAAGAAGTTCAAAGTCGAGGCGGCCCGCCCTCAAAAGAGACACCGAGAGGAAGAGGATATGGTGCCCGAGACCCCCTCTAGTGTCAAGAAAAAGTCTAAAAAGTCCAAGAACCAAGCGCCCGAGGATGGTGTATTGGAAGGCTTTGAGCTTCCCGTAGACCGCAAAGTGAAACGAGGCTGGACCGAGACCAGTGATGCCAAGCAGGAGAGACGAAAGTCGGAGAAGAAAGAGAAGAAGAGCAAGGAGGAAAAATTGCAACCCAAGTCTAAGTACACCGACAAATCCGAATGCCTCTTCCGAGCAACGATCCCACCGAACCGAGCATCCAACGCAACTTCCGACGATAAGAAAGCAAAGAAGAAGAAGAAGTCCAAGGATAATATCGTCCATGAATTTGAAAAAACAATGGCCCAGCCAAGCTTCCTACGCACTGCCGAGGAAAGCAAACCGCCCACAGCTATATTTGAAGATGGAAAAGGCTGGGTGGACTCTACCGGGAATCTGAGAGAACCCGCGAGCGAAAAGATCTCGAAGGATAATTACCGCCCTGGTCAGATTCCAGGGGCTAAGGAAAAGGCCCGAGCTGCCAAATCGGCTGCCAAAGATGTGAAAAAGCGTTCACGCAAAGAAAAGACTCCAGAGGAATCTTCCGAGTCTGAAGATTATACCTCATCGAGTGGCTCATCGTCTGACGAGAGCAGTGACTCGGAGAGCGAGGTGGATGAGAACAAGGCAGATGAAAACTCCGAAGATTCATCTGCATCTTCTGAGGAGGATATCAAGCCGCAATCCCAAGCAGAGACCTCCAAGCCTACGGAAGCTAACGACGCTGATGATGATACACCGAACCAGTCAGAGGCGGATGTCATACCCACAGAGGCTGCGCAAGAGGCTGCGCAAGATTCATCTGCGAAGGAAGTTCACCCACTTGAAGCTCTTTTCAAGAGAACCGCCCCGACAGCATGCGATAACCAGCCAGCTCCCGAGGCCGAGGCTGGATTTAGCTTCTTTGGCAATGACATTGAATCGGAGGACGAACCTCAAATGGCTGAGCCACAGACACCTTTCACACCCTTTACGAAGAACGATCTACAAAACCGGGGTCAGCGCAGTGCAGCTCCCACTCCCGACACTACTGCTGCTACCCGGCACATGACTTGGAACGAGAGTGACTCCGATGACGTTTCGATCGACAGCCCTGTCACAAAAGCTCGCCCGGAAGCCGGTGCAAGCATGGAAGAAACCGAATTCGCAAAGTGGTTCTGGGAGAATCGCGGTGACAACAATCGCGCCTGGAAGAAAAGGAGACGTGATGCTGCTAAGGAACAGAGACAAAGAGATAACCGGAAGAAGGGATTCAAGGGCAAGTCATAAAATTCGAGACCTAGTTTCCTGAGTGGTGTGTGTATCTAGACTCTGTGGTGCTTATACATAAACTAGGCAGTAGCCGACACAAAATACCATGTAATTCAGGCCAAGTGCTTTTGATAAAATATATCTATATATATAAAAAAAAAGAAAAAGAAAAAAAAAACATCACATCTGTTGCTGCTCTAGTCTTTGGATTGTGTACATGGTCATGTGACGTGCATGTCCTCGTCATTCAAAGTCAGTCAAACCAGGACTTGTCGCATCGTCCACTATATGTCGAGGATGGTTTCTACTTGGTCATCACAGCGTGGCATACAGCTGTTGCTACTGTTTTTCACATTTCTGTCTTTCACATCATTGGTAGCAGCATCCAGTAAGTGTTAGCCTCTCTCCGACGCCCTCAAAGCGCCAAGTGGGAGTTGGGAGTTGGGAGGAATGGTACTATCTGCGCGTCGATGTTTGATACTAATACTGAGTCTTATAGCACCAACCTCCTTCTGCAAATGCACCTGTTTCTCCAATAGTACGATTATCCCCCTCAATCCCGCCAAGTCCGAAACCTCCTCAGGGATCGACCACGTCCGCTTTCACGAGCGCGACTCTACCTCCGAATTTGAGGATGACTACAAACGAGCTCCGAAATATCGATCGCTGAATTGTAACGATTGCAATCGCAAGTTCTGTCTCGACTACGAGCTACCGACATGCAAAGGCGCTAAGGAGGAAGATGTATACACAACATGTTTCCGTAAGTCAAGAGGAACTATCACAACAACAAGTACTAATGGGGATTAGAGCGAGATTCACGAAAAGATGAAACGGTGGTATTCATTTTTATTTTTGCTACCGGTGGACTACTAGCTTGGGCAGCATGTAAGCCATGGATTGAACGATATGTTGAGGTAAGGTCACCAAGAGGATTTGGGGAAAAATTTAACTAACATTTTTTAGGCTGCACGAGAACGTAGATCGTATATACCTGTTGAAGATCATTAAAAAAAAAAGGAAAAGAAAATGATTTGAATTAGTATTTGAAATATTATAAGATCTGTACATGTTTAGGGGGTAAACATATACCTAGGTATATAAGAATTGATAGATCGAAATCCAATCTGAAACATCTCAATAGATTAGATGGATCAACCGAATATTAAAGAACCCCTAAAGGCCTTCATACCTCTCTAATGGATCGCCTATTGGGTGGAGAGAAAAACTTGGGATTTTTTCTTAATTTCATTTATTTTTTTTTACTTATCTTTTGTTCCTTTCCCTTTGTATTTCCTTTAAAAGTGATCCTTTACCCATATTGGCCATATTGATATTGATTTTTATTTATTGATTTATTTCTTTTTGAGATGGCAATCTTCGATTCAGATAAGCGCCCTCGCGGCCTTCGTGTGCCCTCTTTAGGATTCAAATCTACAACGAAATCACAATTCTCTCTCCAAAGGAAAGACTCTGTACCGTCCGAAGAGTCAATCTCGAAACCGACAGCCATCCCTACCCCTCCACCACCAAAGCCGGCGCCTCCGCCGGACAAGGAACTCCCACTTCCCCCGAAAGAGGAAATACCATCCAACCCATACTTCCCTCCCATCCGGAATGCAGTCCCAGAACGACGCCCAATTGAACGGGTCCCTGTCCCAACGCAGTCTCCCCCTCCTCGGACGACAGGCATGCGAACCAAGAAATCCCTGCCCGATTTCCATGCGCCTCAACAACCAACCCCAGTGACCCCTTCTCCCCCCCAACTTCCGACTCTCGTCCAGGCCCCGGCTCCAGTTCCGGCCTCAGTGCAGGCTCCAGTTCCAGTTCCAGCTCCAGTTCCAGCTCCAGCTCCAGCTCCAGCTCCAGCTCCAGCTCCAGCTCCAGCTCCAGCTCCAGTCCCAGCGGACGAGGACAACTCTCCCCAACCAGAAGACTTTATCCCGACCCCAGAGAGTGCCGAGCCGCTAGGAGTGCCAGAACTATCGCGCGAAGAGATGGCCCCCTCTCCCTTTGTCCCACCGGATGTCGAACCTGTGGCGCCGAATTTGAACGAAATACACCTCACATGCTACCAGCAACATCGCGCGATGCCCGTGGCGCAGAATACGTGGTGTCCGATGCCGTGTATGACCTGTCAGAAATTTGACCTAGAGATTCGGCACCGCTGTGTGTTCTGCTGTCTGCGCATCTGCGAGTCCTGCTACCAGACCTTGCAGAAATGCAAGAATCGTTCATTGGAGGAACTGGTTGATCGAATTGCAAGCTGATATCCTTCTCATTTTGACGGGTTGATATGGTAGGCATGAATCATCTTTGCATATATTGCATGATATCTTGCAAAGGAACTGTAGTTCCTGTCGAGGTTATATTCTCTTTTTCTTCTTCTTTTTTTCTTTTTTATCTGTTTGCCATTTTTTTATGATACCAAGAACCTCGTGTATATCAAGGATTAATCAGGAATAAAGCTGCATGTTTATGAATACCTTTTTTTTGCATTGTCATAAGTGTAGTATTTCGTAGAGATACAAATTCGTAAAGGGAGCTATGCGTTAGGTATGATACCAAATCGTCAGCTCGCTGTGTCAAGGAGATTCTCATATAGTACAGACGACTTTGATCAATCGTGATCCTCCTCGGTCAGGCCAGGACAACCTTCCAACTCAAGATCCGTTTCATAGGCGTATTTACACCAGAAACAATACCGATATTTCTCACGTAGAAAGAGAACCAGCTTGCGTAGCCGCTCGGCTGGCTCTAGTTCATTGAATGCATCGAGCTCCTCGTCGTCTTCTTCTAGCTCTATCTCCAGTGTAGAGGTATTTTGATCCAGTTCACTACCAAGGGCCTTTTTATCCTCCCGGTCCATAGTAGGGTCATCGTATTCTGGTAGGCGTGCTTTGGGGAAAAACGAGGAAGGAAGTGAGGATTGGAGAGCATGGCGTGTCTGGCGGTCACTGTCGTTTCGTTCGCGTTCACGGATAAGACCGCGATAGAGGACGTTGACGTGGGATGTGAGCTTAATTGGCCTCTTCTTTGTCGGGGCTTCTTTGTTGGACTGTGACTCTCCTTCTTTCTCTTCGGTAGCCCCACTCTCCGATTCTGCATCCAGTCTCTCTGCAACTTTCTGCGCAGCGCGTACCTGCGCTTCGATGTGTTTCAACTCACGCTCTTCACGGATGCGATCGCGGTAACTCCCTTCCTCATGTTTGATTCTCTTTACTGCTTCTTCTGCTTCCTCCCGGAGCTTGCGTTTTTTCTCTGTGTCCAACCCGATTCCACCACGGTTTTCTTTCAAGGTTAGATTCAGCGGTTCAGCACGTGCCTTTAAGAAAGCGTCATCAGAATCGCTGGCTGCAGGTTTGCCAAGTACCCCACCAGGCTTGAACCCAAGCTTTTCCATCATTTTGAATCCTTTGTTGGTGGGATTGAGAGTGCTTGTGGCCAAAGCTTTCTCTCGACGGGCGGCTTCTTGAGCGGCGCGTTCGGCTTTGGATGGGACTCGAGCTCGGGCTTCAGCCTGCATATGGAATAGAATGTTAGAAATGTCAGAATGGTTTTAGCACTTAGCCGGAGACAGTGGAATGTGGAGAATAATGGTACCTCTCGTAGTTCTCGGCGCTTTTTTTGTGTGAAGGTCTCCTTTTGAGGAGGCTCCTCGATTACCATATTCATGTAGTCATCTTCATCTTCGGAAGCCATATTGTCAGCCAAAGGGTAAGGGAAAGGAAGAGTGACGGGAGATAAGAAAGCCGCTTTGGGGTTTTGCGGGGGGAGCTACCGGACCAAATTAATTTTAGGGCTAAAACACTCCAGGGCTATACACCTATATATAGATAACATTGATATCATTTATATCATTTATATCATTTATATCATTTATATCATTTATACTATTCGTAAAATATCATACAGTACACTTTTTTTTTTTAGCCTTTTACTAGGGAAAAGAAACAGGTTGAAGATTGAACTAATTAGACCACGAAGTATACTAAACAAAGAAGCTATCCAAGGACCCTAGAACATGTCTTTGTCTAGACATTTAGAGATGGGTTCAGATGTCTCTCGATGTCTCTCGGTGTCTCACTATGCCTACTTAGAAAAAAAAGTGTAGTACAAAGTGTGTATAACTATGACCATGTACATAGTTACTACAATAGTTACCCGTGGACTTTTATAGCAAAATAACTAAAAGTCATAGACATTTCCCATCTCCAAGATGATTCAATTCTGTTTCTAAAAGCCTGTCGGCTAAAATATCCCATTTCTTTCACATCCCAGTTCCCTTGCAGTACATGTGACACACAACCTGCAAGCGTCTAAGCATATCTCAAAGGTGGCGCAAGGAATCTGTCCTCGTGGCACTTTGCAGGTGCTGTCACCGTGACTTTGATGGAGAAGGGCCAGCTTTTCTTTTACATGAGGGTTCTTTATAAGCCATGGCCTCGACCAGTTAGCAATCAGACTGTTCATCATGTTAATTTTGTACCTCTGTTCTTTGCTATCCCTAGCGTCAGCATCTACAGTGGTAGATCTGGGATATGCTAGCTATGAAGGTCGCACACTATCTAGTGGAGTCACACAGTGGCTTGGTATGCGGTTTGCTGCTCCTCCTGTAGGAGAACTACGATTTGCTGCCCCGCAGGATCCTTTGTCTGTCGAGGGAATACAGCAAGCAATCGAGGTAGACATCTCTTCCGTCAATTTATTTATGGGTGGCTATTGACAATTCACAAGCATGGAAGTATTTGCATTCCCACAGCAGGAAGTGAAGGCCGGGAGGTCCCCGAAGGAACCTCGGAGGACTGTCTATTTCTAGATATATACGCCCCCACAGCTTCCGCAGACGGCTCGAAGAAAGTACCCGTCTACTTCTTTATACAAGGCGGAGGCTTCGCAGGAAACGCAAATGCCAACTATAACGGCACTGGGTTGATCAATGCGTCTGGAAACAATATGGTGGTGGTCACTTTCAACTATCGGGTTGGTCCCTACGGATTTCTTGCTGGACAGGAGGTTGAAAAAGGAGCAAGTCTAAACAATGGTCTGAAAGATCAACGAAAGGCGTTGAAATGGGTTCAGAAGTATATCAGCAAGGTAGGTCGACGTGCTATTTCGTTCTTCCTGTTGTTTTGATATTCGGTTTTGACACTCTCTCTAGTTTGGTGGAGACCCCAAGCATGTTGTCATCGGTGGTGATAGTGCAGGTGCTGCCTCAATAACTCTTATGCTGTCAGCATATGGTGGTAGAGATGAGGGCCTGTTTGTTGCAGCAGCAGCAGAATCACAGAGCTTTGGCCATATGCTCAATGTCTCTGAAAGTCAATTTGCATACGACGCGCTGGCAACTGCGACTTCATGTGACAGTAGTCAAAATACCCTGGAATGCCTGCGCAATCTCGACGTCAATGTTTTGCAGCAGCAGAACGTTAACAGACCCTACCCAGGAGCAAAAGGGAAGCCTTTGTTCCAGTACGGTCCCACAATCGACGAAGACCTGGTGGCAGACTACACGTACCGTCTCTTTCATGAAGGCAAATTCATCAAGGTACCGGTGATATTTGGCCATGACACCAATGAAGGCACGAATTTCGTTCCCAAGAGCACCTCCAGTGTTGACGCCGCAGATACATTTATTCGGAACCAATTCCCATCTATAAAACAGGCTCATATCTCCAGGATAAACAGTATATTCCTTACTGCAAACCAGACGGAGACGTTCCCTGGCACTGGGCCCTACTGGCGGCCGGCAAGTACAGCATACGGCGAAATCCGCTACATCTGTCCCGGGATTGACATGTCTTCTGTCTATGCAGCGGCAGGTGTCCCAAGCTGGAACTACCACTACGCAGTTCAGGATCCCGCCAACGAGAGTTCCGGGGTGGGAACATATCACACCGTCGAAATTAACGCGATCTGGGGATTGACTAATACTGGCAACAGTCATGCTCCAGCTTCATACTACACCACCAACGCAGATATTGTGCCTTTGATGCAAGGTTACTGGACAAGCTTCATTACGTCTCTGGATCCGAACACTAAACGTCTTCCTTCAAGTCCGAAATGGGAGACTTGGGGTCAAGATGGTGATGGATATCGGCGGATCTTCATTCGAACTGGCAAGACTAAGATGGAAACGGTACCACAGGGACAGAGAAACCGATGTAAATATTTGACTAGCATTGGGGTTGACTTAAAGCAGTAGCATAGGTATATAGTGTAGATATACATGGAAGTAAATAGAGCCTTGATCTACTCAAGCATTTGACGAGTCGATTCTTTACTAAATATAGACTAGCGGATTTCTTTTGTAGATCTCGTAGATCTCGAACTTGACTTTTATTCCCAGCCTTACGCCAGACAATGTATATACCAGCCAAACAGGATGTGCAACTAAGTGTGATATATGGAAAACAAACGTGGAACAAGTTGAAATGCAACAATGCAAGATTACCGCCTGCCACGTGCCCGCTCGTACTCGTTGGCAGCACGACCCTCCTGGCTCTGAATCTCCGCAACAAGGCGCTTGTACTTCTTCTCGTACTCGGAGTCGCGCTCCTTCTTCTCGCGCAGCTGCTCGCGAGCAACGAAACTGGCGTCCTTGCGGAGCTCGCGCATGGCGCCCTTGCGCTCGCGCTTGAGCTCCTTCTTGAGGCGGTTGGACTCGGCACGCTCGCGGTCTGGATCGTAGTGCTTGTCTGGGTTGAAGTTCTCCTCGAACTTCGGAATGGCTGTCTTGATAGCCAGGGGTTTGTGGTTGTGCAGGAACAGCGGGCGACGAACGAGACGAGCCTGTGCGAGGTGGGCATCGATCTTGTCCAGGGTGCTTTGGATTGGCTCCCGAGCTGCTGAGTATACCTTGCCCTTGAGAGATTGACGGAGGTACTGCAGAACGGCACGGACCGGTGTAAAGATCTCGGTGAAAGCAGATTTCTCGGCCCAGATGTCGGAAGCGGAACCGAGGAGAGACACGAGAGTAGTAAGAAGGGAGAGCTTGAGTTCCTCCTGTGCCTGAGGATCAGAAGGAGAGATAGTCACATCACGGAATCGCAGTTTGCGAGGTGTGACCTTCTGGGAGGACACGAGCTGGACGGATTCCAGTGACTTTCTGTAGGGGAAGGCTCCAAACTTGACAGTCGGCTCCGTGGGAGCAAGATTGCAGAGAGCATTGAGAGTGTAGTTGACAAACTCGGGCATATATCTCTTCGAGGCCTTTTGATATTGGAGACAAAGACTTGCGGCAAATGTACCACTTGCAAGGTCTGTGAGCGAGCTGGTGGTGCATTGACCCAGGTACCGTGCTAGGCAGAGATGAGCGGGTGTGGCTGTCGTATGGAAGTGATCAGATGTGGGGAAGAAGGTCGAAAGTCCGGTAAGCAAGATGAGATCACCGGGCAAGAGATTGAGTGGGCGTTCCTTGCCGATCTCACGAAGTTGCGCTCGGCACGCGATTGTCACATTCAAAGGATGGGTCTTGGCCAAAGAATGGATGTGACGAATAATATTTTCTAGAATCGCAAATGGAGGCTGCTCAGTCTTGTTACCCATGTAAGAAACATGTTCAACAAGAACTTCGGCAAATCGACCAAGCTTGTCCTTGTTGCCAGGTCTAAGTCGGGGATGATGCAATGCTCGAATGCGCTGGATGACTGTCGGGATTTCCTCGACAGGAACATTCTTGGTGATACTCAGGAAGCTTTCATGGTCTTTCGGACAAGGATAGGTGAATGCGAGTTTTCCGTTTGCTTCCTTGCTAACCTCGGCAGCAGTCGAAGCGGCAGCGGAATCCTCTGTCGGTAGCGTCATTCCGTTAATGAGCTCGTCCTCCCCATCTGCCCCGTCAGATTCATCGCTAGACAAATCCTCTTCCTCCTCTTCCATGTCGCTATCACTGTCACCCATGTCGAGGCTGGCATTTGAATCTGTCTCGACCAAGTCTTCGTCGATGATGAAATCATCTTCATCCTCAACACCAAGCTCAGGGCGTGGTTCAGTAGGGTAAGCTGGGAGGCCGAAATGCGTAGCATCGTCAATTTCCGACTCGTCATCCTCGGGCATTTCGTCCTGGTCCATGTTATCCTCCTCGTCGTCAGTGAGCTGCTCTCCACGCATTCGTCGGAGGCGATCGTTCTCAAGTTTCTTGAGGCGCTCAGCCTCTTCCTCCGCCTTCTCCTCTTCAGTCTTTGTGCGATCTGTGGGTCTTGATCGTTGATCGAATGTCATCTGCCTGAGGCGCTGATCGTATTCCTTCTCCGGATCCTTGCTGTTTTGCGACTCTTCCAGCATGGCAGCACGCTCTGGGTTCATCTCCGAGAAATCGTGCTTCGGTGCCTCTGGTTTGCCCGCCTTGACAGCAGGCTTGATGCCCCGCAGAGCGTCGAAAAGATCAGGAAGTTCCTTATCCAATGCTTCCCGTAGGTCCTCATCCTCATCTTTGGCCTGTTGCCGTTCCGCTTTGTAGAACTTAGACTTGGCAATGACTTCTTTCATAACCTCAGCCTTGGTCTTTTTGCGCCCTGGCTGATCTTCGTCTCCATAGTCGATGAAGTCTTCCTGATCCTGGTCCTGATCTTCATCGCCATCGGGGAATCGCTTCCGTTTCCGGGACGCTTCCTCGTCGGATTCCCCCGCATCATCCAAGTCTCCGGCCTCGAAGTCGTCTTGGGTTGTTCCGTCGAATGACAAAGATTGACCCATGTGAG